CAAATATACTCTTCCGATCTCCTCGACTCTGTCTTTTGATTTCTCTTGGTGGGAACGAAACATATTAGAAGGTGTTACTGGTAGAAGCGTTGTGAAACACTGAATACCTGTGACATCATCATTCTCTACCAGACGCTCACTCAGTAAATATCTCAAAACCTTTTCAGTCTAATTGATAGTTTAGCGACACAATCATGCATGCAAATAATCAGTATAAGCAGTCGAGCAAATCTCCTGTAAACTGAAAACATCAATGTCGAATTTACCCCAACACTGACTAAGGTTCAAGCCATTATCATAGACATGAGTTGGGAGTGTACTCCCCCTGGTTACAACTTATGTTCTCCCTGATAATCACATGAGCATCACTCACTATTAACCATCTTGTAAAAACTTATTTAGCCAAATACATCTTGCAGCACCACATCACTTAGTAATATGACACATAGGCGTAACTGATTTCAATAACTTATAACCACTATATCTCAATTAAATCGTATTCCGCCTTATAATAAACTGCATACTTGCATCTAACTTGTATGCCCGATCAGCCGGCAAGTATAAATATAAATAAATAGTCTGCCACAGATCAGAACATTGAGTCCAGGGCATGTCTCTCACGAATACACTCATGTTTAACGATTTGTTCCTAGCTATCTGTCCAAAATTCATATAATCATCACTCACGTATTTAAATTTTGTTTTGATGAACATTCATGTGTATTAGTAGTATTACTAAATTCTATCACGGTCAAGTAAAAATGAGGTTGAGAAAATCTCCCCGTAACTAAATAAACCGTATCAAACTGACTGGAACACTAGTTGGAATTCTTTTCCATGGTAATACTTTTGTTCTTTCAGTTAGCCTACAAATACAGATGCAATTAGAAATCACATATGAACAGGTTACCGGCATAATTGTAAATTGATTTCATAATTTAAACCAAAACTAATACCAATATTAACATTTCTGCAATATTCACTACTTTAATATTTCTAAACACAAAATACTTCTCACTTATACGTTAAGTTATTAACCAACGGCTATTAATACGCATCGTTATAGTATTATTATTATTATTATTATTATAATCCCATTTTTTTATAGCTCAAATAATCTTCAACCAAATTTTCATTTTAAGCGTGTTAAGCATGAAGGCATATATTTTAAAATTATTACATGTATTTTCCGATCAGATGCTGCCGCCTTCCTTTTGATTTATCTTTCAGCTTATCATTACCCGGGGGATGCTTACTGGTCTTGGTAACCTTCGGCGCACGACAATCCCATCCAATTCGGTATCGAACCAACATCACGTTGATTCTGGTGGGAGAGTAGTGTAGTGGTATTGAACAATAACCGCACAATCCACAAAGCTGAACACGAGACTACTCAGAAAATAGATATTCAATACTTAACGGGGATAAATACCTAACGATGGAAAAGGCGCGAACAATGAATTGAATGGACTGGATTTGATCTGATGGCATGGCTCGTCCATGCAGGCGTGGTCCATCTCAATGTTACTTTATATCTTCTATTCATATTAAATATATTGTTCCTTCTCTAGCCTAACCTTGTTCTACATCATGTATTGGTAATTGATACGATACAGTGAGTTGGTGTAGTCGATGGTGTGACTTCCACGTAAGATCTTATAGATTAGGCAGTTATATCATGACAAATCTACAAATTTAGGATTAGGTCTATTATTAGAGCAGTACTAATATCATAGTAGACCATAATTCTACAGGTCCACTGTGAAAAGTTTGCAACTGATAGTGAAGCTTTGAGTTGTCGGCGAAAGCGTTCTACCAACCCGTTTGTTTGTGGGTGCCAGGCGGTCGTTCGGAAACGAGTGATTCCTAAAAGTGTGGTCAGACGACGGAAAAGTTCAAATTCAAACTGACGTCCGCGGTCTGTAGTGATGGTTGAAGGGCAGCCGAAGTTTGCTACCCATCGTTATACGAAGGCGCGGTCCACTGTTTCGGCAGTGATGTCCTTGATAGGCACTGCTTCTGGTCATCGAGTGAAACGGTCTACGCAGGTTAAGAGATAAGAGTATCCATTTGAATCTGGTAAATGTCCTACCAAAGCCAGATGAACATGGTCGAAACGAGTATCAGGAGTTTTAAATGAGCCTAAGGGACATTTATTGTGTCTGGTAACCTTAGATTTTTGGCGGCCTACATAGGAGCGCGCCCGATCCCTCATGTCTTTATTCATGTCAGGCCAGCAAAACCGTTCTGCTATAAGCTTCATGGTTGCACGAACACCTGGATGAGAAAGTTTGTGCAATGTATTGAAGACATTGCGTCGATAACGTTTCGACACGACTGGACGATCTCTACCTGTAGATGTGTCACAAGGTAAAGTTTCCTTACCTGTTCCTATCTGTTTGATGCATGGCTTGAGTGTTGTAGACGATGACTCGTGCCGAAGATCAGTGTCTTCTTTTTGAAGCTGAGCGAGTTTAAGAAGGTCGATCCCTTGGAAACTGTTCAAGAAAGTTATGCGAGACAAAGCGTCTGCACCTATATTGTTTGACTCAGAAATGTGTTGAATATCTGAAGTATGCTGTTAAATGTAGTCCAGTTGTTGAAACTCTCGAGGAGATCACCTATCTGAAGGTGAGCCTAAACAGAAGGAAAGGGGTTTGTGAACGGTGGAAAGATTAAATTCTCGGCCTTCAACGGAATGTTAAAAGTGGCATATAACACAAAACATGGCTAGGATTTCCCTGCGGAAAGTGCTATTGTTCAGTTCGCTGTCTAGCAGCCTTCTCGAAAAGAATGCTAAAGGTTGTCAGTTGTTGTTTTCTCATTCTTGTAAGACTCTTTCGATTGTCGAGTCGGACAAGTCCACAGCGATACTGATAGGTGGTTTGGTGTCCTGGTGTGCAAGTAATGTTGCTTTGGCGATAAGTTCTTGAACGGTGGAGAATTCTTTTTTGCAATATCGTCCAAATTGATGGACCGCGAATTTCCCCGAAGTTAGTCGATTAAAGGTTTCATAAGAGACGCTCGATTTGGTATGAACCGTCTATAGAAACTCACTAGGTGGTTGAACGTGCATATTTGCTTGATTGTGGTCGATCCTGAGTAATCCGGAATGGTCATCGCTTTCCGTTTTAGAGGTCAAGTGTCTTGAGCATCAATAGTGTGTCCATGAAAATCTAAAGTCAGTTCTGTTTTGACATTTTAAAACGTTAACAATACTGCTGTGTTTTGTAGTCGCTCGGAGTGAAATTTCAAACGCATGTACGAAGCAGAGACCTTCAAAAACGTCATCGGTGAATCTCAGGAATGTTTTGCAGCATTTCTTAGCCGAAAGGCATCCTCGAAAATTCGTAGATACCGAAAGAGGTGGTGGAAGTGACTTTACGAATGTCTTCAGCGGCCATGGGAATTAGGTTATATGCTTCAACTAAGTTGACTTTCAAAAAAACGGATGCTCCTATCAAGGTCACCGTCAATTCGTGAATATGAGGCAACAGGTGATCAGAAATGGTCTTCGCATAGCCACCAGTTGAACGCCAGTCGTTGCTGTTCTTTTTAGGGTCCGTGTGCAAGGGAGATGACCATAGGCTGTTCGATAGCCGAATGATCCCTGTGTCAGTGATATAGTCGAATCCGTTTTTATACAACCTTGGTTTTTCAGGAACTAGTCGGTGCGCTTTCTAGAATACAGGTGGTCCTGTGATCTTGATTTGACGTGTAACATTGCTGGTTACACATGGCAATTTCGCTTACGTTTGGTACTTATCAGGTATTTGTTAATAGTATGGATCAATCATGTGCCTTAATGTGACTGGGGATAATGTACAACCGAAAAAGTCACAAAAACAGATGAATTAGTATTTCCGTCGATGAATTTCCGTTTCCCCGTCTCGTTGAGTAAATGGTAAGCTTGTATCAAGTCTATACCAATGATTAGCATTGAAACATCTGCAACAACGATGATCCAGTGGATGGGTTTGCGTAAATCCACGTTAAGGTACACATATCGCTTACCGTATGTGGCAGTCGATTTCCCATTCTCAGCTTGTAAATCGTGAACCACTTTGTGCAGTCGGTAATCAGAATTCGCTGGAAGAACGCTAACTTCCCGACCAGTGCCGACGAGGTGGCGAGCTTTCTTAATCACACCAGTGATGTGGAAACAGACGGTCATGTTTGCCGGCTACGACTGCCGTTAACACGTACCGGGTGAGAAATTTCCTGAAGCATTTTTCGCGTTAGTCGGTTTTCGGCTCGGGAAACTACAGGGTTTTCCACACTTCCGAGATTTTCTGGACTGATTATGATGCCAGCACCAATCAGGGTTATCTGTGACCTAGAGACAGATCGTTCTCGTGAAGAACTCTGAGGAGTTTGGGAGTGTCTACGGTCATCACGAATATTAAGGTAACCTGTCAGATTAGTACAGAACTCTGTAACGTCATTTCGTTCCGTTTGAGGGTTTTCTTTGGCTGAATAGACCATGGTGCAGGGAGATCCACTGATCTCCAGAATTCGGCCGGCAGATGCAGTCGATTCGTCTACAGAATTGTTTTGAAATGAGACAAACACTGCATGCACCTGTTGGTGAAACTTAAAACAAAAAATTTGTCTAAATATGCCCTTGCCAAAGGTCCATTGATCAATGTCCTCACGTAACAACATATCTGTTGTCGGGCGAAAATTGCATCAGCTGAATTGAGGGTGGCGAAAAAGTCTCAATCTTAAATAATTTGGGAGTTTGTTCAGTCATGATGAATATAAGGTAAATCACATTAACTCGGCTCCCAAATACTGAGAAACTATCCTTTCAGTTGTAGACGAAAGTTCTTATACATACTTCCAACCTTTATTGATTCATTCAAGAAGAGAGACAAAACATTATATGAATCTCACTATGGAAGGACCAACATGGAGTCGAGCTCTCGTTCTCAATGTACAAACTTGAATCAATTGAAAATTGATCAGGTTTGTTATAAGATTTCTCCCTGATTACCAAACAGCGCTTTGGGTTTTTTCAGCGGGTTTGTGCTTTCGTTCGATTGGTTTGTTGATGTGTTCCTACGCAATACATGACAATGAAATTTCTTTAAGTTACATTTTCAAGGGGTTGGAAATTTTCCGTGTGATACTGATACTTCGGCCATAAAGTGCTATCTCTAACGGTTAACATTTGGTATTGCCTTCTTGATAACCGTTTTATTCAGACGGTTCCTGTCATAGTGAGGACAAATGCGAATCATTCAACAGATTCATTGTATATGACGTTTGCTAAGATAGCCTTATCAGTTTCGCCTGGATTGCCTCAACATTGTTTCGGGAAACAAGACGAATAATTCTAGCTATTCTGCTTACATCCACTTTGATATGTCATCATTTTAGTCTATACTTAAATAAATAATTTCGCTTGTACCTTTAAGATATATTTTTCTCCCAAAGTCTTGATTTAGTAATAACACCCGGTGAGTAAAATAGTTCAAGAATTTTCGATCATAGAAGACCTATTGAGGAAGTTGTGGTTTTACGTATTCTCAAGATTCCATAGAGCTCGTAGCTCAGACTGCCAGTTGATGACTTCTGTGAATAGTTAGTGACGGATCATTTACTAAAATGATTGCATAATCAGGCCAAAACAACACTTTGACGGCTTATGTCACTTAGTATCTCTCCAGGCCGAAGTAGTTAGGGCGCCGTTCAAATATGTGAGTGAGTAGTTCCAAGTTGCGTTTTAACTGCTAGTCAGTCGTATTTCAGTCAGTGTCACGTGCTGCTCTGGTCCTCTTGAATGAAATATCACAAGCATGAGTAACTACTGACCGTTCATAAATGACATTCATTAGCCATTTTAACCCATGAAGAAATCTAGTACAATTCAATTTTGGACTACGGCCATATGGGACGTGTCAGGAATGAAAACTTTCCCCGCTCTAATCCATACTCAGGTATTTGGGGAAGTTTTTTGTCCCTTTAAACTATAGTCTTTCCTATTTAAAAATGTTATGTGCCTTTCCGTGTCCACCTCGCTATGTTAATGTACTTAGATTCACTTGAACTAACCCATCGTTTCGACCATGCCGTAGATTGATTATGACCGACTTCAATCATCTTTCCTAAAGGATTGTTTACACCAGATGAAACCACTTTGTGAGCAATGCTCATGTTTTCATAACAATCTCAATCATTCCAACCACCCTGAAACACATGCTTCGGTGTCTTAAACATGTTTTTTGATTGGTGTCTCGGCTGCTGTGCGCCACATTATTAACCAGTACTGACACTGGGTCAGTTTATGACATGGGGCAAGGGAATGTAATATAACTGTACAGGGCTGACGTATGTTGGTTAGTCACGATCCTCTGAACGTAGTCTTAAAAAGTATATAGCTTATTTTGTCAGGTACAACTGAAAGTAAAGGTCAGTGGTAATCGTTCTAGCTTTCTATCATACCCATCTGTTTTCCTTACTGAACAAGATCTTCCTCAATTCTTGTTTCTTGATCAACTCGTCTCTTAATAATTACTTTTATTATTATTACTATTCAAACTTCGCTTCTCTCCAGTGTTGGCCTTTCTACTTTGTATGGTATATTTCTCGTTTCTCCAGCGTACCGAAATTTTCGTGATTAACCGTGAGGATTCTGATCTCAGTCATTTTTACCAACCAACTCATTTGCTAGGTTTTTTGGTAACAGTGACAGTAATAATACTACTGGATTGCCCAAACCAAAGTGACATTCAAATCTAGGACTAAGTGGTTAAAAGTTGAACTCCTTGAACATATATATATACCACAAAGTTTACTTCCTGACTAATTGAAAAAACCACAACTAACGTGGCAGTCGCTTTGGTTACAGCACTCAGCTTCAGCTGGTATGTCCCAGGTCCGGACGCTGCTATCTATTTTTGTTTGGCCTGCTGAGTAGTACCATTAGTCCTCATACAAACGGCATGGTCCATGTCCGAATACGAAAGTACGTATACCATAAATGATTTATATTTGACTGGTAATTTCATATATTGAGCGAAGCAGTTGTACTAAAGCTGCATACATTTCACGCTTCCTTAGCATTGGTGATAATTCGTGTTTCAAATTGATAGTCTGCTTTTCTCAATTCTTAGTTTTTAATAACCGAAAGGCTTTTTTTCGAATAACAGGAATTTATTATTACGTTTAGTCATAAATTTTCTTTTTCAGTCTATTATGAATCAGTTTGGTCATCAGTATACTGTCCAACCACCACCTACCTTTTATACGAGTGATATGAATTCATTTGGTAAGAATATTCTTTGGTTTTGTATGATGCATAAGTAATTGTGTTTTGCTTTGACCAGTGTTAGGATCTCTAAGCACAGCTGTAGGTTGTCTGTAAATGAAGTAATTAACTAACCGCTCAACCAGAGAATATCCATTTAAGATTGATGCTTACGCAAGATATTTTAAATATAGAGCCACCTCGTAATTTTGTTTACGTTTAAATTATATTTCATATTTTTATTTTCTTGTAATCAGTAATATTTTGACTCGGATTTTATTGGTTTCCTCTAGCAGTGCTCGTATGAAGTGTAGTAACTTGGGTCGATACACGTGCTTTGTCTTACGTTGCGACTCACTAACCACTATGTTGTATATTCTCAACACGCTCATGAGACGACCTTTAAGGTTTGACGATTTAAAGACTACAAGCTTTTGGTTGTTCGTAGCTTAACAGCCTTATTGGTGTTTCAAAATCAGTGAAATCTGATGTAGAAATTGTTGTTACGATCTTGTGCGCTTAGTTACTATCAGCTTTGAGATATAATTCTAACAGGAGTAGGACTATAATGACATTGTACTAATCAGCGGTAACGCTTGCCCATGGAAATATGAATCTGGTGGCCGCAATGTTATAAGCAGCAAAATAAAACGTCCGGGCCTTAGTCGTTTGGCAACCAGTTCCAGTCATGTTAGTTCATTCGTATTATGTAGTCTTTATTTTCACATTCATCATATATCACTTTAAAGAAAATGTGCATCAATTAGGAATGTTCTAAACGTAACTATCCCTGATGTCACAGGGTTGGATAACGGATTTTTGGATTATTCAAATTTGTAATACAAATGTGTGGTAGTGAGGGTAAAATGTGGTTAGTCATTGAGCGTAAACAAGTAGGCACGATTACTTACGCCTGCTACTCTTCATGGAGGAGCATAGTCCACCCACCAGCATTCTCCATTAAACTCTGTCCCGAGCAATCATTTTTAGTTGCTATTCATCCTTTGATGTCTGCTTACAATTCTCGTCTCAGCGTGTTCTTTGACCTTCCTCTTTCCTGGTTCCCATCAGGATTACAAGTTAGGGCTTGCCTCGTGATGCAGTCTGATGATTCCCACAATGTGTGTTCTATCCACCACTCCTATTGTTCTTCCATAATTCCCTCTTCAGATGGAAGTTGGTTTGTTTTCTCCCACAGTAGGCTGTTACTGATTGGTATCCGGTCAACGGACATTCAGTATCTTGTGCAGACAGTTGTTTATAAATAATTGTACCATTCTTATGATGTGGTAGTTCTCGAAGTTTTGGCTCCATTACAGTAGAACTATCTTGACGTTCGTATCGAAGATTCGGACTTTGATATTGGTTGACGGTTGTTTTGAGTTCTGTATGTTGTCCAACTGTATAAATGCCACCCTTGCTCTGCTAAACGTCACCTTTACATCTGCATCCGATCCTCATTGTTCATCGATGGTGCTGACTAGGTACGTGAACGCCTCCACCTGTTCCAGGGCTTGTCCATGAAGTATGATTGGGTTGGTGTTCTCCATGTTGTATTTGAGGATGTTGGTTTTTCCCTTGTGTATGTTGAGGTCTACTACTGCAGAGGCTTCTGCTAAACTGGTTGTCTTGACTTGCATTCGCTCATGTGTATGGGATAGAAAAGTCAGGCCATCTGAGAAGTCCAACTCGTCTAGTTGTATGTAAGCTGTCCATTGTATTCCTCAGACATAGAGGTCTTCATAATCCAGTCAACCACCAGAAGAAAGGGCGACAGTAAGCCGCCTTGCCTGACTCCGGCCCCTACTCAGAATGCGTCCGTCAGCTGTCCTCCATGCACGACTTTGCAATATAGTCCGTCTTATGAATGCCGTATGATATTAACGATCTTCTCAGGCACACCAGTGTCGACACATGTTCCATAAGGTTCACCTATCCACTCTGTCAAACGCCTTTTTCATAGTCAAGGAAGTTGATATACAGTGACGAATTCCATTCAATTGATTATTAATAAGAATAATATATTCGTAATATCTGATTGGGGTATTACAAATATAATATTTTTAGTGATAAGAATCTTCCCAATGCTCAATTTATTGGAACTTACAAAGTCAAACCTTGATAATAATATCCACAAATTCGATTGATTGTTCAACAATGATTCATGATGTCACTATTTGGTTTGTGCACGACCGATCCTTACGGAATCCGGCCTGTTGATATCTTAATACTCAGTGTTGTCCACTTTGACCTTGGGCGTTTGATGAGATATCCTTCTTTCCAGTTTGTCATTACTTATTCCTGCTCTCAAATCTTTCTGAGTACAACGTGAGGCATGTTTGCAGTTGCTTTTGTTTCTGATTTCGGTTCTTCAGATGGTATATTGTCAGGTCTTCTTAGTTTCCCACTCTTGATTTGTCTGATGGCCATCCTCATTTGTTCGATCGTTGGTGGAGTGACATCTGTAGGAAGGTCTGTAGGTGCTGCTTCGATGCTAAAAACGCTAACCAGAATAAATAAATTAAACCAAGTAGCCACGGCTTACTAACTAAAAAATATGATTTCCTTTTCCTGTTATTGATTTCTACCCCGGACTCACTGAGAGTGACTTGTGTTGAATAAGGTATTGTCTAGCATTATTTTTCTCTATTTTTGGTCGTGAATCGTGCCTCCGACAACCTAGCCTGTGCATAGCGTATCGATCAGGTATCTAGTCCAGCGGTAGTATATATTCGAACACCAGCCTTATCACATTACTGCATTATCGTAGTATGCTGTAGGGAGAAAAATATTTCAGATCAAACGTTTTATTACTTAGTATAGTAGTTAAGTAGGCATTGATACACATTTATCAACGTACTTACCACCATTCAGCTCACCTTTTCTGTCTTTTGGCTTAATTACGTCTCACTATTTAGCTTTCTAACGTAGTGTATTAATCAGCAAATTGGTACGAGTTCTTCATTCGGTTAAAATGATTACCCACACTGTCTGATTGTTTGTTATATATTCACGACCAACAGTATTTGCTTTATGATTACTGTATAGTACGAAAAACACTAATTGATTTGGCTTTGTGATATTGATTACGTAGCTTTTGTTTCTTAGGTTAATACTGAGACTACGTGAAACTTTATTCTTTTCAACTTTGTAGGAAATGGTGTTCAAAGACCTGGACCCAGGCCTTATAGTTTTGAAGTTCCACCTCAAGATTTTCAGTCTACACCCCCTCTTCGGAGTGACAGTGGATATTCGCTTTGTCCATCCCAGTATTACAGCAGACCTGGGATAATGCCTTCCACAGACGAAACTTGTGTTAATTTTTCAGAACAACTACCAATAACCTCTGAAGTCAATGAAAATAGCAACGTAGTCCTTGACTATCAGAATCAGTTTGGTTTCCGTGTTCCTCCCGAGATTCCTAGCTGGATGACCTTAAATTCCTCAGCTAGTAACTTCTACACTGATATTCAAAAATACACTTCACAACCTAATCCAACACCCCAGTCGGTATATACTGGGATCCCAGTTCATTACAATAGAACTCCTGAGAACTCTACGTTTCAAAATCGTGGGCGTGTTAGAACTCCGGGTCCTTTCAAGGGAAATAGAGGAAGTAAGATTTTATGCGTAAATAATAATCGGATATGAATAGACTAAAATCTAGTGTTTTATCTTAAATTTGTTTAACGTTGAGGAGTGCAATGGCTTTGAATGTTTAGAGCATCCTCATTAACCTAATTACCACATAATTTTGTGATATTTTGTGGCTTAGCATTCTATGGATGAAATAATTGTAGGCTGAGAAATAACGTCAAATTTTAAGACAAGTAGTGGGGAGAAGATTTGTAGGTCAGGTGGATGATTTTGATGGAGCTTTGTTCTCCGAGCTGGATGGTTTGGTCGTGTTTTTTTCACAGCTGGCACATTTTGTAGATGATGTTTGGTTTGTCTTATTTTTTCATATTTTATCCTTTCGTTTGCATAGGATTGATTGTAGTGGTTTTGTCGGTTTGTGTGCAACACCTGTTCCGAAGATTCTCAGCAGTCTCGTTGTGGTTTCTGATATGCCTTTTATGTATGATCCTGTGTTATAACATGACCAAACCATCCAGCTCAGTGAAAAGAACTATATCAATAACAAGTAGTGTCGAATAACTAACCTTCACAGATCGTCAGTTGCATTCATTGTTTACACAAATCATGTTGAATTCTCTTTCGAAAAGATAAAAATATGATTTTGATATTGTTTTTAATAGGTCTTCGAAATCGCCCCAACCAAGGTACTCACACCGCTAATACTGCCAGTACGACGACAACTACAAAAGAACCATCCGTTTTTTACTGCGATATTTGCAAAGTTAGTTGTGCAGGTCCACTAGCCTTCAAAGACCACGAATCTGGTCAACGCCACAAAAAAAGATTGTCCCAGGTAAGTTTGTCCTACAATTACTGTCTGACTTATTCATTGTTTTTAATTGAATTGCTTTCTTAATGCAATTAAACATAGGTGATTGTAAGCTATCGTTCATATCAAGTAGTTCTTTACAAGCTTCAAGATTTATTGTCATCATTTCAATTGAATATGTCTTTTGCATTTACCCTCACATGTTCCGTATTACAGGAATAATCTTGAAAACCATAATTTGACCTATCTAGAATATAATGATTAACATTCCTAACAGTCTTATAAACTACTATTGGCTATGTTAAATAACTTGGATACCACGTTATTCTGTCAAGACTGATAAGCGAACAATTAACTAGGTCAAAATATGACTCAAGTAGAGTGAATAGAATGCGATGTCCGAAAGCTAGAATAAGGTATGTGGGCTTAACATAATAACTGACACTACATAGCCCCCTTGTAGAAAATAGCACATTTAAAAAATGTCTGTTTTCGAAAATAACACTGAAGTGATATGAAGCTAACGTTAACACTAAGTAGCAAAAAATTGTACAGCACTCGATAAAGTACAGTGGCACATGAGCGGTGAGTGTATTTTATGAAAATGTCATACTTATGTAAAAGAATACATGAATATCGCAAAGGCGCGGACAAAAATGGAAACGTTAGCATGCGAATATGAGCAAATTAATAAGCGTACAAAAAATTTACATGTATTAATACTATGACTGTCTGGACGATAAAATAAAAAGTTTGTATGAGTGATTCAAAATATCGTGAAAATAGTAATAAATTGTTTGTGGGTATGTGTTGTAATCTCTTTCTACGGTATGACCCAGCTATTCCTATTGCTTAGTAGTCTTGGACACCAAATCACTCGACAAGACCCCAAATCAGAACACGGTTGAACAGGAAAGAGATTATATTCCAAATAACAAGGTTAGATGGAAGTAAGATGCAAGTAGTAAGAACAATAGAGAAAACGTTAGTATATTTATAGTTTTTACATGAGAAGATTCTAGAGTATTCTCCAACTATCGGCTAGTGCTGATTGGATAAGAATTAGCCAATCAGCGTGCACCAAAGCAATCATGCATTGAGCATGCTTTAATCCAGTCTATGTCCCGCTAACAGTATGACAGCGAAACAAATCATGAAGATAAGTAAAGTAGAATACGACAGAAATTGGTCTGTGGTGCCGACAAAATAGTGAAATATGTTAAATATATGTTCTCTTGAGCCGAAGTAGAGTAAATAGCATCGATTAACGATGAGTGAATTCGAATTTAAATACGTAGTTCCCGTTCGTAAGATAATAATAATCAAGTCGTGATATGATAACTGCATCGACTGGTGATATTCGTTGCTGTACTGCAATTGATAATGATCGTAAAATGTGAAGTCAGTGAACGTTGTCGTCTGCGTTATGACAGATGCACTGAGTTATCGTTAAATATGTATTAGTAGAATAACCAGAGGAACAGAATAGTGATTGAGTAGACAAGGCACGTAGAGTTGTATTCCTTTTTGGTCGTGAAGCCTAGAGTGGTTTGTGTGGTTTGAGGGAGATGCGGTCGACCTCGTTTGCTACAAAACCGTACCAAGGCATGACAAAAATACCAATACATATGATTAGCGATGGCGACGTATGAGACTGACTTGGATGTGACGAACAAGAGTGTATCTTTGAGAGAGTAGCTCTAAACTCTATGTTCTGATATACCGTGAGATGGGTATAGAATAGAATAGTAGTTGCAGTACTCGAATAACGTTTTTGGTTGATAAATGATGCAGCATGCAGTTATGCATGTGAAAGAATAGATAAGATGAAAGTAATGGTTTCTAGTCAGCTAGTTAGATGCATCCACAGACATAATAGGAGGCGATTTCGAAATGAAAAATGTATGTTGTGATAACATAAATTGCTGACCTCGACTAAGTGAATGAATGTAATATTAGATCAAAATGACATGAAAAATTGGAACGAACTCACTTAAAGCAGGAAAATTTCACGTTTTTGAATAGTAAAAATATCCCAATGGGTTCTGAATGTCGTAACATGGAGTGTTCATAAAACGATAATTTGTTCGGTGGGTGATATGATTGCGAAAATGTCATAATTTAATGACAGCACGAATAAGATTAATAAATCCACATTCGGTCATGATATTGACAATAATGTAATAATAAGCATATAATGATAATTTGAATCGTAATGGAACAATCCGACAAATGGATCAGTGAGAATAGTTGACATGAGGACAAAGTATCGATAAGATAATACGACTTGATCATGTCCATGTCATGTTGCACAGGCTTTGCTGATTGCGTCGGATTGGAGATTGCACTGGCTTCGCTGAATTTGTTCGTCGTCGGCGGGCTTACCAACTTAGTGGGGGCCCGTAATTTAATCGTCATTTAGATCGAACGATGTGGTCGAAAGGGCTCACCAGTTTAGTGACCCGCGGATCTGACTCCATGTAGATCGTAATGATGATTGTTGTTGAAATATATGTCACTTATCCTCGTATATAATCATCGACTTTAATCGCGTTAGTCAATAACGGAATTACAATATCCAGGTGCATGAATTAAAGCTAGTATTCCCAACTGCCAAATTTAAAACATTAACTAACTGTTAGGTCTCAATTCGTTGTCTTCCCATGAATAAAATACTATGAATAGTTGATTTAATATCATTTTAACATGGGTCGTTTTCTTATTTTATCATTTTTCACTGTTAGGTTGAAGCGATTGAAAAATTAAAACAGGAAGTCTCTACCGATGGAAGTTCATCATTAATTATTAACTCAGCTTCACGAGAATTACGTTGTGAGCTTTGTGATGTTGGTTGCACCGGTGCCGACTCTTATACTGCCCATTTATCTGGTAGACAGCATCAACGTACGCTCAAGTTACACAAGGAATTGGGGAAACCAATTCCAGAAACTGATGATCCCCTTGTACCAGCTATTGTGGCAGATATGATTGCCACTGGAGTTGACGATGCTAAACCAGGTGAGGATTTTTAGATTTTTGCAGGTTGTTTACGGTTTTATTTTCCCCCCATTTCTTTGAATCCGCTACTTCACAGTGCTCACTAGTCATTGCTTAACTTAAATTGTTAAATTGTACCTTCGTTTAAGATATTTGTTAAAAATTTCACAAAGCATTTTTGAGGTGGGAGTTCTTATTCTGTCTGTGTGAAGGATACGTGTTTTTCTTAGATACTTTCAACATGTTGTAATGACGGGCATTTCTAGACACATTTCTCAGTAGTTTCATCAGCTACATGAAATCCACTAGCAGACTGCAGTTTGCCCACCTCTGTTTGATAGTTCTTGTCATAATGTTTACTGTTTCGTTAGTAAGTTTGATTTTTGGTTTAATGGAGCTGTGGCAATCAACATTTCAGTTACATGTAATAACTACTCGTTGTTTCACCATTCAAGATGTATTTCATAAAAATAGGGTCGTTGGAGAGCAGATGGGCACTATTTACAATAATCTTTTGCTAGCACTGTAGACAACTAAAATCCAGAGTAAGTTCAGTTATGGATCCTCAATGTTCTTGATTTTGCTTGACTCATTATTGTTGATTATTTACTTTAATTAAATGAGACAAAACACTGTATCATTGTCGATTTCATTTTCATATTCTGGTACCGCTGAAATAAATTTCAGCTTTTACTACGATTAACTTTAAATGGGTTGCTTCCGCAAGTTTTGATATTCTTTATCATTCATTACTACAGAATACATTTTTTATCTTTTCTACAGTTGAAGCGGATGAAAATAAAACAAATCCTACGGAAAACACGTTTATGAAGCATATTGATTTAAAACAACTTGCTGGTCCTGAAGTACCTGCTGTTGGACAAGAGTATTTAGAAACTGTAAGAGCTTATGTAATATACATTATTATGCTTTTAATTACGTATTTTCTGAATGTCTGGTTTAAAGTTAAGTAAAATAAAACACTCGAAGGTAGTACCAAACCTCAACAGTTGACACGATTCATACAGAATGCGCGTACAGAACTACTGCTTTCATCATGAAGTACATTCTTAATTTGACTTGCGTGTCCCCATCCACCGTCTGTGTCGACATGTGATGACGACCAATGTTGGAGTAGATTGAAAATAAGTTATGGGGGCCAAACCAAAACATGATATCGATCCATGAAGACAGTGATTACTGGACTTGAGTTATGTAGGTAAGTTCAGACTACTTGGTTGGGGTCCGCATAATTATCGTTACTGGCGGTTAGAGTATAGCAACTAGCTTTGTTATACTCCTGAACGATTTATCCTTACTTTTGAACAGTTAAAATATTCTAATCTTCCTAGTCATTCATATATGCGACCTTGAGCGTGTGTATATGATTGTACGTATCTATCTGTATAGTTGTTTATATCTTTCATGGCTATAAATATTGAGCCATGTTTTAATTAAGTATTTTGAGAAGCCTTCCTTCATGTTTCACTTCTTATCATTTGTCAGCACGAATGAATGTTTAGTTCGTATTTGGTTTTTCTCACCGCTGTCACCCAAACGAGGTTAAATGGAAGGTTTACATTGTATCGCTCGTTCCATTCATCATTCCAGATAGAGTCAGACAATTGAACCTATTAGAGAGTTTGAATGATATGGCTCAAAATCGTTCTCGATCGCTCTGATTCACTCACTCTTTATCTCTCTTTATATCCCAAATTTTCAAAGTACCATATAATTTTTTTACTGTCGCACTAATCTATATTTCCTCGAATTTTATCCTCGATGCGCAATCCTTTTTTATTACTACTAATACTGTTACTACCTCTGTAATGAACGAGAACATAAGTGAAGACAACCAAATGTATTAGAATACAAAATTACTGAGTTCTTTCGTAAAATATAAAAACCATGCATTCAATACATTTGCAAATCCTCCATTCATTGTCTCAAACTCCATCGTTCCTTCATTGCCGCAACAATCACTCTCTGTTCCCGTTCTCTTCGATTCAATCTTCCCAACCTTCTGATTGGCGTTGTCCTACTTATGTCGACATAAGCAACACACACCACACCTAAACTACTCAGGAATTTGCCCATCTTGTTGTGCTAATGAGGTTGCGGTGTGGCAATTTAAGTGGATGCACATGTGTGCTAGGTATCTGCATTGTGTATAACTGACTAATTTGATAAAGGATATTGTAAAATGTTAACATACAAAACTACAAACTATAAAGTTGTCAAGGGTTTGTTGGAATCTTATTGGTCTTGAGATATAACCTTTAAGTCAATTCACTTACCGTTTTTCTCTCCTTTTCGAAAAAATTTCTCTCCAATCAGATTATTAATAGCAACAACAAAACTGTTAAATATCGTTGCAAGTTATGTGATTGTGAATTTTCAAATCCAGATTCTCGTGAATGTCATTTACGTGGTCGTCGTCATCGTCAACAGTACAAAAAGAAAGTCGATCCATCGTTTATTGTCGATCCAAATCCAGGAAATCAACTTCGTCGAAAAGTGATAGCTGCTAAAGAAAAGAAGACGAAACGTAACGAACCAGTGGGTTCATAGTTTTCTCTTATTAACAATATTTACTCTGTCTAGACCATTAGTATTTACTGTCTTCTCATATTCCGAAAGTTTACTAGTATATTTTTCTGACTGATAAATCATAATTACTTCTATAACATTACTTTTCAATATATTATTTCATACTTTGCATCACTAACTGATCTTAGCTTCACGACGATTGAGAACCAAAAAACCATGGACAGCTATTTAATCTTAGAATGGGGTTCCTCACCAATAAACATTTGCAACCCCTCCAAAAATTGAATCCATGTACCTCACGGTGAACACTTAACTTTTAAACCACTGGTCCGGCGCACAGTGGCTTAGATGTTTAGTTTTAGTATGTACGCGATATTGCGAACCCCATCTTCCAGTGCGGTCGATGGATAACTACTCCATTCCCGGCATTATTGAACTCGGCTTTCCACGAGAACTCCGAGGATTACGTCTTGAAAGTAGTCATTAGATGAGCACATGGTTACTATTATTACAGAAGATTTGTGGAAAGCTTTGGGTTTCACAGACTACATCGTGGATTGGTCGTAATTAAAGTTGTATATAAGACACTGTTGGTTCCCGATTATTGTTTAAGATCAATCCGTCATTTTAAGAAGGAAATTCATCAGTCGCAATGAGTCTTTTGTAACAGTATAATATTACGTATTCAAATGTTAGTACTGCACAGAAATGGATATTGGTCACTTGATATATTTTATAAAAAAGAATGTTTCACAACTATTCCTTACGTTTGCCAATTATATATCATACAAATACATATTGCTTTGTTTAGATGATTTTTAATCATAGTTGAAAAAACACATTAATATTCGAGATTTCATAAAATCTAATTAAGCGTTATACAGAGAATAGCAAAACAACCATGCCTGTTCAAATGGCAACATCGAGTCAAAACCATTTATGCATTGTTTACAACCAAATAAATAATTCACAAAGGGGATGAATGGTGTGGTTCTAGATTAATTGAGCACACGTTTGTAAAAGCTAGTCAATTAATCACTTATCTTTAGGTATTCATAATCATCCCTTATAATTTATCAAAAGTGATCATATATTTAAACTACTTGGATAATAAAGCCAATTGTTCATACGTTAATGATACTAAGATTTTACGCCTTGAGTCTTGTTAAAAACATTTTGCGATCCAAAACATCTTTTTGGTGACTTGGTTTTTACTACTTCATTCATCCTTAGTTAAAGATAATTTATTACATTAATTTTATACGTTTTCAGAAACAAAATACTAGCAGTTTCCCCAGTTTCAGTACCTTGCGTAATAGCTGTATGACAGGAAATTATATGAGTGGGATCCCATATGACCGTTTTCCTGCACAAGTCCCTCGAATATACACTACTCAAACTCCTAATAAATCTCTAGAAAGCAGGTATATCAGTTCTAAGCATACATCTTTGCTACCGACAGCTTGGGAAGTTCAGGTAATTATTTTTTTTTACTAATAAACTACCATTGTATACGATACATCAATTTTATGAAACTTTTGTCCAAATTTATTTCTACTTTTGTGTATTACTTCTTAGTTCTGCTGGTCTGTCCATTGAAATATTCTTATATTTTTTCTATCGGTGTACTGATTATATATATATATATATATATATATATATATATATATATATATATATATATATATATATATATATAGAGAGAGAGAGAGAGAGAGAGAGAGAGAGAGAGAGAGAGAGTGATAGTAATATGTGGGCTTTCCTTTTTAACAGGAAATGGCGTTCTTGACGATTGCTGAAGCATTGTTCGAACTTAGCTTCCTGTTATTTGTTCTTAACCACCAAATACAGTATTACATGGTTTTTAGTTGTTTAGCTTAGTAATCACATTCAAAATCTGATAACATTCGGTCATAAATACGACCTTAGTAGTGTATTACTGATCACTAATTGGTCAATGTCGTATTTAGAATTCGTTTGTTTTCTTTATTAAATAAGAGTTTTTAATTTAATTGGAAACGAAAGAAATGTATCAAGCAATATTTCTTTTCCAAAGATTCCGTATTTTCCCTGAACTACACCACCAGTTGAGCTATGAAGCTTGACAATTCGGTAATGAAAACTTCCTATAACTGAGTCACAGCTTTCTAGTCCACTTCATCCATATCAATCTGAGCAGCCCGTTAGTATGAGTAGCTCTCTTTTTAGTCCACGTTAATTTGTGACGTTTGTCTTCTCTTCATTAAGGCAATGATGTTGGCTGTAACGATTTGTGAGCGCTCCTTGAAAGGCGTTAGTAACGACCTTTTAAAACAGGCGCGTTCAGCATCAGATCTTTCTGATACCACCAAATGTGCTAAATCTTGTGATGATGATAATAATCTGGATGAATTGGAAGAAAAAGTTGGTGAACGTCTGCTTTGTGGTGTTGTTCGTGTTGGTGCATTGGGAAAAAATGTACTCTTAAGGGGTGAACATTCAGCAGAACTAGTTTTAATATGTTCTAAATGGCCTACTAAAGAGTTAACAACTTATGTATCAACTAGTATTACAAAATTAATGGAGGTTAGTTTATTTTTCTCTATGTGTTTTTTTGTTAAAATATCACTTTTTGATAACTTATCATTGAATAAATTTTATTCACGTTGTCAGATATCTTACACTTGTCTACTCAAAAACAATTGTAATTAGGCCTATAGTAACTAACATTTTGTAAATAGTCACCGACAACAATTGACAAACAGTACGAATTGTTTAATTTCTCTCTGCACCTACACAATATTTGGTATTATTTATCGAATATTTTTCCTCGTCTAAATTTCCAGGGGTTAAACTTCTACCGGGAGGTTCACTTGTTGACTTAGAATATGCTGATGATATAGTTTTATTTGGTGAAGACGCTGACAAAATGCAGTCTGACCACTCTAAGCAACAATGCAAGCATGTTCGGGATGCGATTCTCCCCCTCGAAATGCAAAATGTTGCTTCAGGATTGGGTTGCATTGACACCCGAACTAATGATAGGGAGTGAAGTAATTGAGCGTGTCGACCGCTTCACTTTTCTTGGAAGTTTCATCAGCCCTTGTGGTCTGGTGTGTGACGAAGTCTCAGCACGGATACAGAAGGCTCGACTAGTTTTTGCCAACTTGTGTCATTTATGGCGTAGGCGAGATATCCGTCTATCAACCAAAGGACTAGTTTACTGTGCAACAGTTTGTTCCGTCCTACTTTATGGCAGTGAAACATGGCCGGTAAGAGTAGAGGATATTCGTAGGTTACTAGTATTTGATCATAAGTGTCTTCGAAACATTGCCCCTATATCCTGGGACCATCGAGTAAGTAATGCAGTTGTTAGGAAACGGGTACTAGGTAAGGATGGCAAATCCATTGATGAAGTAGTGAAACTTCATCAATAGAGATGGCTGGGACATGTGTTACGTATGCCCAACGACCGACTGCCTCGACGTGCGATGTTCAGTGGTATAGGAGTAGATTGGAAGAAAGCTAGGGGCGGCCAGACTAAAACATGGCACAAGTCCACGAAGTCACTGACAAGTGGACGGGGCCATATTGGTAGGTGTAGACTACCTGGTTGGGGACAGCGCGATGATGGCAACCGATGGTTAGAGACCTTGAATGACATGGCTCAAAATCGTTTGCAATGGTGCAGGTGCATCCACTCTCTGTGTTCTCCCAAATTCTAATCTTCTGAATTCTTCATGCCCCTTTCTTTTTTCTCTTTCCAAATTCATCTCACTGTATTATACTCCTTGAATAACATCTTCAAACCCTAATTTTTCTGATTACAGCCTATAATTTTACTACATCTAGCACTACGGGATTTGAATCGACCACTGCATCTCTGTGCTAATGTGGTGTGGCAACTCGAACTGATGTACGTACGAAGTTCTACGTTGTTACTGACTGAATGACTGATATTTTTCAGTAAGAAATGTATTGTGCACTTGTAGCCAAGTTAATTCTACTTTTAAAATACATTAGTTTGGTTAACAGTTAAATCTGTTTAAAGGATTCCACTTGGACGAGGATACCATCTTTTACCTAATTTTATTAAGGTTTACAGAAAGTTTATAATTTACTATAATCGCTTCATAAATATTTATTATTTTATTTCAGTTGTGGTACCAAAAAGTATTTATTTTTTATTATAGTTTGAGATCTTGGGTACTGTTCGAGTAAACTGTCCTTTAAATTTTCAATTTAATAAATCTAGCGCACAAGGTAGTAAAGCAACGTTAAAGGAAATTGCTTAGTATCCGAGACCCACAGCGATTTCATGCACGATTGATTCCATTGGGTGACAAATCATTGCTTGTAATTAGTTTAGGCTCAGGGTTTTCCAACTCCCATGTTCCTCTATCCTATCTCCCTGAAAAGCATTTAATAAGCTATCAATACAGGACGGAATTCATTTGAAAAATCATTACATTTGATAAGTGTATTCTTCGACCTTTTAACCAATTTAGCTGTCTTACTGGTTTCTAGTCACACCTGCCCGCCATCTTTAACGTAACTGACTATATCTTTTTAAATCTGTTTTCATAAAGTTTTTCGCACACTAAATACCTTCATTAATAATATGTGTGACAGTTTTGTCGCTGACATTTATCTAAAACTAGTTTTTGGTCTCAATGACTGACCTTCAACTTAGTTTACCGTCTTATTGGTTTCGCCTCCTGTATATCATTCGCTATCCGCTAAAGTCATTGTATACGGTCCTCTTCTGCCAAATCACATAACTTGTATTTTTCTAGGACATAAAAATATCATTCCATTATTGTCATTATGAAATAATTGGATCTGCGGGATTAGACTTGTGCAGCAAGTGTGATCATTGGTAAAAAAATTACTACTTTGTCGTGGAAAAACTCTGGGCTAATTATTCTCAAATATAGTTACTAGACATTTGGTAAGTATAATTTAGCCCGTTCGTTAAAGGTGTATTAGATCTATGTTAGACTACCCAAATTATGATTAGTTTTTTGTAAGTTTTCAAGAATTTTCTGAAAACCCTAGTCGATATATCCTGCAGGTTCATTACATTAGGGTGAACTTCAGAAATCTCTTTATTGTGAGATATTTTCAATGAACCTGAAGGTGGTATCGATCTTGGGTTGTGATTGGAATATGTTGGCTTGATTTTTTTCATACAGTCACTGGAATCCCGTCTTCAATATACTGTCACAGCAGAGCCTACTATGGGAACAATTACGGTCGTTGTGTCCTGTCCAGATCCATCCTTACTGAATAAAAGTGACACCTGTGAAGTAAATTTAAAACCTGCTTGCAAAGAAAACGAATCTGCGATATGGCCTACTATAACACTGGTAATCAACTTAACTTCCCCGATAGTAGTCCAAAAAAATGAAGCCGCTCCTGAAGATAAAAATGGTAATTATATTCTGTCTTTAAAAATACGTTTTTCACAATCATTGTATGCAATTTTATTTTTCTACCTGGCGACCGACAGTTCCTACGTCTATCAGTCACCTAAGTGGGAAACATAAGTCATACATTTTGCATCTCAAGACCCTGAAACATGTTCACATACTGTTTATAGATATTTATGTTGTAAACGAGTGAAATACAGCGACGAACAATAAGGCACTAGTTTTTTGTACTCGTATATGCTTCATATCAACCTCAATACATTTCTTTCTTATTATTATTAGGAAATTGTCTCAGAAAAAAGGTTATCATAACCAACCTGGAAAGCCAAATTACTATAATGATTCATTCTGTGCTGGTTCAGCAGAAATATACAAGTATAAAAATGAGAATTATGTTTCACCGTCATTTCATTTAACGATAGTTTGAAAAATGAACAACAATAAAAGCATATTTCTAGTGTTCTTGTTAAGTCCTTTGAGCTACAAAGTTGTGATTGTGAAACTTTTATTGTCGTTCTTGACAGCGTCATCATCAAGCTCACTATAGAAACTTGTGTTTCGAATTATAGGTGATTGAGTTATTCTAGATCTGACTCAGAAAATATTACAAATATCTCAATTCCCTCAACGACGGCTCCTCCTGTAGCTCTTCTAGGGTTAGTGCCGGTCACAAGCCCGTGTAAAGGAAAAAGGTTAGGTATGGGATCAGCAACCCCGTCCCATAGGAAACAGTCTTTCTACAAAACGCTAACCAGAAAAAATCATTTAAACTCTGCCTTAAGAGTTGGAGGATCTTCTTTCAGAAGAATTATGACACTTCTTGTTGAAAGCCGAGATTCTTCGGAAGTCATTTAACCGATGCCCTTTCTAACAACCAGAGCAACAATTTTCATAGGTATATGTAATGTTCAGACAACGTAGGAGACCGGGGAGATCAACCTAATTGCTACGGAAATAAGAAGATATAACTTGGAGGTTCTCGTAATCACATTAGACCGAAGCTGGACAACAAATAACACATTCGTAAGAGATGCTGCTGTACTTCGGTCACGAAGAAGAAAATTCTTTACACACTCAGGGAGTTATGCTGTCCAAAGAAGCACGAAAAGCACTTATGGGATGGAAAGCTCATGAATCCAAGCTCATCAAAGCATCCTTTAAAACAAAGGAGGCAATCATAATGAATATTGTCCAGTCCAATACATTCACCAATGATAGCAATGAAGATAAAAACCGGTTTTCTGAGGCTACAGTCGATAGTAAAAAGTTGCTCAGGAACTAACCAGCCTGATGCAAGGTGCAAAACCCAAGGTCAAAGTGGACAACACTGAGTATTAAGATGCCTCACGTTCTACTCAGAAAGATTTGAGAGCAGGAATAAGTAATGACAAACTGGAAAGAAGGATATCTCATCAAACGCCCAAGGTCAAAGTGGACAACACTGAGTATTAAGATATCAACAGGCCGGATTCCGTAAGGATCGGTCGTGCACAAACCAAATAGTGACATCATGAATCATTGTTGAACAATCAATCGAATTTGTGGATATTATTATCAAGGTTTGACTTTGTAAGTTCCAATAAATTGAGCATTGGGAAGATTCTTATCACTAAAAATATTATATTTGTAATACCCCAATCAGATATTACGAATATATTATTCTTATTAATAATCAATTGAATGGAATTCGTCACTGTATATCAACTTCCTTGACTATGAAAAAGGCGTTTGACAGAGTGGATAGGTGAACCTTATGGAACATGTGTCGACACTGGTGTGCCTGAGAAGATCGTTAATATCATACGGCATTCATAAGACGGACTATATTGCAAAGTCGTGCATGGAGGACAGCTGACGGACGCATTCTGAGTAGGGGCCGGAGTCAGGCAAGGCGGCTTACTGTCGCCCTTTCTTCTGGTGGTTGACTGGATTATGAAGACCTCTATGTCTGAGGAATACAATGGACAGCTTACATACAACTAGACGAGTTGGACTTCTCAGATGGCCTGACTTTTCTATCCCATACACATGAGCGAATGCAAGTCAAGACAACCAGTTTAGCAGAAGCCTCTGCAGTAGTAGACCTCAACATACACAAGGGAAAAACCAACATCCTCAAATACAACATGGAGAACACCAACCCAATCATACTTCATGGACAAGCCCTGGAACAGGTGGAGGCGTTCACGTACCTAGTCAGCACCATCGATGAACAATGAGGATCGGATGCAGATGTAAAGGTGACGTTTAGCAGAGCAAGGGTGGCATTTATACAGTTGGACAACATACAGAACTCAAAACAACCGTCAACCAATATCAAAGTCCGAATCTTCGATACGAACGTCAAGATAGTTCTACTGTAATGGAGCCAAAACTTCGAGAACTACCACATCATAAGAATGGTACAATTATTTATAAACAACTGTCTGCACAAGATACTGAATGTCCGTTGACCGGATACCAATCAGTAACAGCCTACTGTGGGAGAAAACAAACCAACTTCCATCTGAAGAGGGAATTATGGAAGAACAATAGGAGTGGTGGATAGAACACACATTGTGGGAATCATCAGACTGCATCACGAGGCAAGCCCTAACTTGTAATCCTGATGGGAACCAGGAAAGAGGAAGGTCAAAGAACACGCTGAGACGAGAATTGTAAGCAGACATCAAAGGATGAATAGCAACTAAAAATGATTGCTCGGGACAGAGTTTAATGGAGAATGCTGGTGGGTGGACTATGCTCCTCCATGAAATGTAACGGACTTAATAAGTACCATTGTCAAGTCACGGTACACCATCATATTTTGCCTTCTTCATCTGGTAGTCATACAAGTGAATCATCGTTGCCTGATTGAAAAACACCACTGATGGAAATTTCTAAAATATATCAGCATCTGTTAAACCTTTCCGTCTAATATCCTAAATGTCATTAGAAACTGTCACTAAATGTCTTGTTACTCAGTTTGAACGCTAAACTCTCCTCCAATGCTTTAAGTCGATTCATGGTTTTGACTCTCCCTTTAATCATGGGCACATTTTGTTAGTAGTAATTCTAGTGACCTTTTGTAGGCTTTTAAATCTTTTTATTCAGGATACTTGTTAACGCCATACTTGAAACCCATGTAAATGAACCAACAGATATCAGTAAATAGTAAATTAGGTCATAGGAGTTAGTGGTTTATTGTGCATACGGCAATGTAAAGACATTCGCTCACTCAGTTGGTCAATAAATATGAAATTAGTCTTTAATAAAATTTGACCAATTATAATTTAAAAATGAGACAAAAACGTGTAAGTGTCCTTTGGGTATTCACACTATATACGTACTCATCTGGAACTGATGATAAGTTTTTCTGTCTCTAAACCCCCAACACATACATTTAAATACAAAAAATTTTACTAAGTCTTTTCAGCCGATCACCTCTGTGATTTTCCTTGTCTTTATTTTTCACTGTACTGAATGTGTATATTGTTGATTTATTCTACTATTTTATTCTATATGTTGTTCATGGAGATTTATATTGACTACGTTTGTCGCTTTTAGTCGTTGTGATTATATACATTGTTCTTATTCCCTTGTGTAGAAGTCCCACCAGTTGTCCAACGTTTGATCGTTAATGGTCATCCAATTCCCAAAGAAAAGTGCATCAAATCCATAGATGCTCTTGATCATGCTTCATGGTTTCAAGTAAGTGCTTCAGTTTGTCTGAAAAATTAGTTACTTTTTCCAAGTTATTTTGTACTTTTCTTTTAGAAGTAAAATTTTAGATGCTATCAGTTTAACCTTGCATATCTCAACCTCTCTATTAGTTCTAACAGCATCTGATATCACAGTATTCATGATCAAATTCCGCTCTAACTTCCTAATATTTCTGATCTGTCCATGATCAACCATTCTCTTTGTCCTCATACGCTACCAGTGCTGACCATTCGAGTTCACCAAACGCTATTCCTGGTCTCCTGAAACCACTCTCGAAACTACATGTTTGAACCTCATGTCAAATAATACAATAGATTTTCTTAGTCAGGACCATATAATCTCTCACTATCTCTTTATGTTGTTTCTCCAAAACACATACAGGATCACTCACTTTTCACTTAGTCTGTTTGAAGATCTGGAGTGGTTGAACAAAAAGAAATTTCAGATGGTTTCTTTTTAATGCTCTGATGATTATTTTCATATCATATTTTGATTTTAACCATTTGTGTTTTCCATTCAGCATATTGCGAGCGGAGGTCCGATACTCTTAATTAGTCGTATTTTACGCGACTTTATCCAATCTAATGAATACTGGATCGAATTAAATGAATTTGTAAGTTTTCATTTAGTTCTGCGTTACGCGTAACAGTTCCATTTTTATGTAGTTCCTTTTTTAAGAATTGATTTACTCGTACATATAAAGTCTCTAATTCAGTATAATTCTTAACTATTCCTAATTTTTCCCAGTATAACCAGTCATTTATACATATTCATCCCAGCGTTCTGTATTTGCAACTGGACTGATATATCGTATTAAATGCTGTTTCATCAAGTGGATTGCTAAAAAGTAATAAAGTTCTCTGTTTAATGTCTAAATTATTTCGTTTTAAAGTGTTTGTTCATTAGTGGACTCTGAATATTTTATTGTCTTTTATTTTATTAGGATGTTGAAGTACACTTAGATCACCTCTTATCTTTAGAGTACAATATGGTGATTCGTTCTGGTTTCACTTCCCTCCCATCTCAATGTGGGTCACCGAGAAATATGCTTTCTGTACCAAGTGACTTTTTCCATCCTTCCAAATTACTACGTAGATTTTTCGAATCAATGGCAAATGGCTATTTGTTCTTTGCAGTAAAACATTCATCTAGTTCGAATAACACTGAGGATTCTCCTAGGGAGAACAATATACCTGTGGCGTGTACAAAACCATTTTATGTTACAATTTCTAATGGAATATCAGATGAAGTTTGTGAAAAAATAACTGTTTCAGCTCAACAAATAGTCAGACAAATTGCTTTTAATCAATTATACAAGGTAAGTGTTCTTATTCCTGCTCTAGGATTGTTTTTCTTATACGTAACTTCAATTATTAAAACGGTCATCTTTCGAAAGCAATCACCTTAGAACATACATTTGTTTATATCACTGTTAGGTTTTACTATAGTATTCCTATGTTATACTATCGCTTTGTATATATGTAGCTTTTGTGTATACTTGTCTTAATTCACCACTGGGAAAATCCAATTGTCTTCACCTTTTTTCTTATATGACTAGTTCTTATGCATTCTACACCAGGAAGTTGTCCTGCGTTTTAAATTACTTATCCAGTTTGTTTAGACTTTTATCTCTAAAGATCGATTTCACTCCGCCCTGAAGATATATTAAGCTGTCCAAGCACGTTTTTGTTTGTAACTTTTGTGTCTAATTGTTAATATTAATAGTATACTACTGTCGTCCAACACCAATCATCTACCTCCCGTTATGTCAAGGGATAAATATAGAAAGTGGTAAGTTGTATTTTGTTAACAGGGAATTAAAAGGAGACAGTTAATTAGCTAAGACAAATTAACCAGGCTTTTATTTTTGCTAATCCAGATGGACCTTGCATTCCAAATTTTTACTGTTTATTTACGACCACTTCTCTAGGTTCTTGGTATGGAACCTCTGGATTCGCCTCACAACTCAGATTTTGTCCAGTCAGGTGCTAAACGAGAACAAAATCCTGATGTTTCACAAGGTCAAGATACTTCCGAAGTCGAATGTTCAGCTGATGATAAGAAGCAACAAAATAATTCATCTCTTAATGTCAGTTCTGTAGCAAATGGCATGGAGACACAGGAATTTGCGGCAGAAGCACTAAACGTTGAGTCAGAATGTACTCCGGCCAAGCGAACTCGCCGCGCTACCGCTAACTCGAAATCTTCCATTTAGTTATCTGCATTTCAATATTACACGTCCATTTATTTGGTTCCACTTTCTTGAAGTTCTTTTATATCATCCACATGTTGTTCATTCGTTCTTAATCAAATATACAATTTCCTAGTTATCGCGTCCACGTTGTTCTATCAGATACCGTAAAATCAGGATTGTGATTTATTAGAGACTGGTAAATAGAAGTGTTTAACGTAACTAAGTTCGCACTTTTTATTAGGGCAGATTGTCCTTTTACGACGTAGTTCAGTTGGTTGGGTTCAGTAGGGTTCACGTCGAGAGTTATCTGATTTAAACTTGCTCCCAAGAATGTTCAGGTGTTTAAAAGACGTTTGTTAATGACAAGTAAATGCATTTCATCTGTAGACCAGAATGTCATGTAGTCACTTCAGTCTTTGGACTTTAGTATTACCAAGGACTCGTAAGGTCTGTATTTTCACCATAATATCAATGACTATGCAAGATTTAGTCAACTATAACAATTTGACTGGCAATACACCTGCAGAGTTATATCAACTGAGATAACATGATTGTAATTTTTAAATCGCTAGTCAGCGAGTGTGCGTGGTGTACAATGTTGCGATCTACCTGTCACTTGGGATTGTGGTTTATTGTTTAGGTCTTATGTATTTCCTAGTGAAAGTGAAGTGAGTCAGTATATGTTGTCATTGGGTTGTGTAGCCTTGACGTAAGACCCTAGAACGTTTCAGCTTTTTCTATAAATGGCTTACAACTCTGAATAAGTTGACTGCATCGACTGTGGTTACGTTTTACAACACCAGACGGGACTACAAGTGGTCTTAGTTAATTGGGCTGTCAACCGTCCTACGTAAGTAGATGGAAAAGAATTCCTTGAAATATGCACAAGTCCAGATTAGGGTATTTTTAACTCTAGAACAAACTTGCCTGTCATCGGCAAGGATTGCCTTGCATTCGTGTTCATATTGATTTTGTCCCACAGTTCATTGACGGACGAGCTCTTCAATATACGGGCCTCTGAAGTGACATTGAGTACTGGCCAAGCCGATTCACTATACTTCATTTCAGAAAACCAATCAAGGGACGTTCATTGACTGTGCAGTTTGTCAGGGTCGACAGTTAGAACTCAGAACTAATTATGTGACTTTTGAAGACCAATGCACGTAACTGTTCAATCTTGTTTTGAAGCAATATCCTACTTTTATCCTTTTAAGTAGTACCTACAACTGCTAAATTTTATTTCACTTAAACTACAATCATTGTGTGCACTTCGTTAAATTTTCGTTACAGGTAACGTATGCACGGGAACTTCCCACAGGTGACCACAGTGGTACAACGTAAAAAATTTATTCTTTTCCTGTAAGCTTCAATAATGTCTATATTTGCTGAACTACAATCTCTGGTTTCGGTCTGCTGATTAACATGTTCGAAAATCATTCCTCTGTCCGTACACATTCGGCGATCAGTGTCGCATTGCATAGTGTTCGAGCCGAAAAGTTATATGACGTTACACAGCGCAGTTGTTTTTATGGTTCAGATTAGATTTAGCGAAAAATTTCATTCACTGTGTTTACAAAAGATTGTGTTAACATACAGGAATTGTGTTATCACGCAGTTTTTGGCCTGAGAATTGCTACCTGTTCATATCGAAGCCACAACTATTTCGTATAGAAAATTAGGTAAAATACTATTTAACGAATCACGAAAGATTATCTGCCTAAAATCTTTGTCTGAATCGCATAACGAATTCTCTTGAAAACACCATTTGACACCAGTCTGTTGATAACGTTGTATTGGTGGACAGTGCTAGCGGAGTGTAAATACTGTGTGTGTATAGGTCGAAATGCTTTGCCTGAGAGATTAAACTGAGCCCTTCAGAATGAGGGGGGCACAAGTGGCCGTTCCTTTTTCGATAAGCCTTTTCGATAAGTCTTTCAGGGCTGGAAAATGTGAGACGTAAAAACCTAGTTTGGCTAATATTTACTATCATTCCACTGACCCCATAGGACACTTCACACGGGCTAACCCTAAATCTAGACTTGTAGTGGTAGTTAGTCATACCATAAGAAATCTACAGTTTTGGGACAGGTCTTTCGTTATAGTAGTACCAATACCAAACTGGACCATAATTTCATGGTTGACTGGTAGCGGTGAGATGATTTATATAAAAAATTAATGGAGTCAGAATCGATGTAAAGGCGTACAAAGCTACTCATTTTCACTAGTTATTTATCCGTATTGTTACGTCTCGTTAGGTGGGTTAATATGTACTTCTCAATTTTAGTGCTCATCTCAAGGTTTGACGGATTTGTGTTTACCAGTTTAGTTTTTGCTTGACTCTAGTAATAGCGAATAAACCAGTACTAAAGTCTGGGTGAAGGCAAAAACAGAATACAATGAAATTTTATTCGTGGACTTCATGTTTTTGACTGGTATCAATCCATCTAATTACACCACAAGGTCAATAGACATAGTTTATTAGGATTGACTTGTCATGAAGAGACCACCTAATCTACTTATCCTGACTTGCTGTGTTGCGGAAGCCGGATGTGCTTGTGGTGTTTGAATGAACTAATGATTCCTTTGTACTTGTTGAATGCTTGATTTCGAATTCCAAATACAGTACATTCGTTTGTGCTTATCTAGTACTTCTTGATCCGATTACGTTATTTCCGGGATTCTTAATTTGTACTATAATTCAAATACTCCTAATCATTATATTGCTACTTACGACAAAATTTTGAATTCCAAAACAATTTTAATAACAGAATAATATATTCAATATACAGACACAGCTGAGCCATGGAACTTTTATTGGTCTACACTATTTTTCATTGGATATTCAACGTCCAGTTTAACTTAGTGACGGCTCGCGCTCATGTTTCACTAGTGCTGATTTTTAAATGTTATTCCATTGCCACTCTACCACTAGATTTAGTGCTAAAGCAATTTGCTTCCAAACCAAGTTGTATTATCGCACGACGATCACCAATACATTGATCAGAGGTGGTTCACACATATAAATAGTTGAGAGAACTCATCTGACGTACAACAATTTCATGATAAATATAGTTTAAAAGTGCATCAGAGTCAAGAAAGAACATAAAAGATTTCTTTTCTGAACCTAATAAGCCGACTTACTTAAGACGAGTGGAAGATCTGTTTGGACGGCTTCCTGCAAGCACGAAGAAGCCTTCAGAGGCTCTAAAGGAGCCGAAGGGTTTTCATTCAATCACAGCCTGGTAGTACTTTCTAAGATATTTACATGGTATGCTAAGATTGAACGGTAGCATAACTTGCTTCCTTACGGATCGGCTGAATTATAGTGATACGTTAACCAACACTAATAACTATAAATGAACATGTTTTTCCGTACATTTTTGGTCTTCACCTAACAGTCTCTTCTTCTTTCTTATGTCTTCTGATTAGTGACTGTACGGGGTTCTATACGTTAGAATGCCATTAGTTGTGTGTCGTATTCTGCGTTAACCAAGTAGAGAACGTGACGGGAACTTATACAGGACGAGCTGAGATTTTTTATCTCAAGAAGAAACATAATGTATATATATATTTTTTCTGATGAATCAAAAGTGTTTTATTCATTCTCACCTTCTATCGAAGGGAGCAATATTTCAGTGACCATCCAGGAAGACATAAACAGGTTATACGAATAGGCTGTCATAAAATCAGTCGCTAAGCGGTAATAAAAGTAGTCTTATTTATCAGGGCCTGAATCTTCTTTTAACACAACCATATGCTGGAACTACTCAACAATGTTCATGTCTTCGGCTTAAGGTATATCACTAGTTTGAACTTCACTGGGCACATTGCATCTCAAGTTCAATTACACTAAATCTAGAACGTTATTATTATATGAAAAATGTATCATATTTATCTTTGGATATGGTAAGCTAGTTCAAAGTAATTGTAGGCATATGGATTTGACGAATTAAAACCACTGAAAGAAAATGCACCAGAGCCGGTTTGATATATTCTGATAGTATTAATTATAGCCAAAGTTGTTACAAACCCACGTTAGAACCTCTCTGGGCCAGTCGAGTCAAATCGAACGCTGTCTTTATTTACCGGCATACAAATGTCACTTTTTACTCTTCAGGATCATCCATTTAGTTCCTCATCGTGTCATCCCACAATCTGCACGACGTGAACAATATTCACTCAGTGCCGAAAACCTACACTCCTAACGCTGACTTGGAATGGATCACAATGGGAAAGTTACTTCATGAGAACAAATATGCCATATTTTTTATATACCAGCCATCGTTTTCTTCTGCCAACAAGCATCGGAGAGTTTCAAGTATCTGTAGTGGTATTGGTTCCTAGCCACATGATCTTCTCAGCCGGACGTATAATTACTGACAAGGCTTACGACTTGCATCTTTACTGGATCATGGTTTACAAATCATGGAAAACCTCTCTTGTTCCAATTAGTCATATTATCTCTGTATTCAATTGCAGACACGTTTCCTACTTATCATCATGGTGTTCTTCTTAATTCGTCTTCAGATGATTTCCTTAGAAGACATTCTGTGTTGGTGTTGGTACATTTTCCGCTTTGGGTAATCTTTAAGTTTTTTACAACATTTCTGTAGCAAAACTTTCCAAAATCGATGTTCGTCAAGTCGTTATAAATCAGATAGATTCCCCCCTTCTGAATAGTGTGTACGGATCATGAATATCATGAGCAAACGTAGTGTACATGACACATGTATTTAAATAATTAAGTAGTGACCTTATAATCCAAAGAAGTTGAATAAGTAAGTCTTCCACCTCGTACCCAACTTCCTTACGACTGTGCGTAGGCTGCACAGCAGCATTCTCTATCCAACTCTGTCCTTGTACCCAAGAAACTTGGAAAATCAGGCACAGAGAGGACGGTGATCACATATATTGTTAATGTTATCAAAAAAGATTAGGAAACTGATTTGGTTTCGATGATGGTGAGAAACCACTTTCAGTGTTCATCTTCAATCACTAATGTTATCGTTAACTACTTTTTTATTCTTTCAAGCTTGTGAAGTCCTTAATCAACTCTTTGTAACTGCCTGTAATAAGTGAGCATCTTCTACAGCCCAGACACCAGTCTCAAGGACCCGGTAGTATGCTATTCACGCCTAAAAAATTCTGTTTTCTAGATCTGTTTGCTGACCCCTTAGACCCAACTGCCCTGAGACAAAAGCATTCCGATTACAAGATATACAAGCTAGCCGGAATAATCAACGTTTACCAAGACAAAAGAAGAAAAGTTGGAAAGTTGATATCAGCTCTGCAACAGAAAGTACTTTGGAACACTACTGGTCAGTAGGAGATAAGTGTATAATTAAAATCCGGGAAACTGAGATAAAATATGAAACGCAGCTGACAGCCTAAGAGACTGTTGTCGTACATAACTTACAGAAAAAGGATGCATCAGTTTCTCAACCAAATTAGGAAGGGAGTGGATCTAAAATAATAGAGGATGATCGGAAAAAATTAGAGGCGATGGCAAACCATTTCAGGACAGTTTTCACTTGGCAGCCTCCTCTTAACGAAGAACTAGATCTAAATAGAAAGTCAACTAACCGTCTGCACACGGTGAACTTTGATCAAGACGATGTGCTTAAGGCTTTAATATCTTAGGCCTGGAAAAGTCAACAAGACCGGACGAACTTTTCCCCGAAATCCTGAGACAAATTGCACAATATGTTATAGCCTCATAAATTGCGCTATTCAATATGTCACATGATCAAGGTGTGTTACCTACGGAATAGAGGGATTTAATAGTCACTCCATTACGTAAAGCAGTACTAAAACAACTCGTATTGAACTACAAACCCGTCAGCTTCACCAGCGTCGTAGTTAAAATACTGGAAGGAATAGTCGAAAAGGCCATAATTATGTTTGTGGAAACCAACAACTTGTTACACGCCGAACAACATGGTTTCAGGAAATATTTATCTTGCACAACAAACGTCCTTATAGCAAGGCTCTAGACAATGGAAAAGCAGTAGTTGTTGTCTACATGGACTTCAGTAAGGCATTTGACAAAGTGCCGGCAGATAGATTGCTATTGAAGCCGGAAAATCTAGACATCGCGGATCTCTCCTAAAGTGGCTTAAGGATGTCATAGTAGGTCGTAGACAGAAAGTAACAGAAAATTCAAAGTGCTTCACCTGGAGACCAGTACTTAGTTGAGTACCTCAAGGTTTTGTCCTAGGTCCTTAACTTTTTATATTGTATACAAATGACCTCCCGAGTATAGTTGAGCCCCCAATGTCATTATACGCTGATGATGTAAAAATCTGGCGAAAAATAATGGGAGATGCAGATGCATGCGCGCTTCAGGCAGACCTAAATATTGTGATTAATTAGTCTAAAGAATGACTGATGCCTGTCAACGCAGCAAAGTGTCTATATGCACATAAGGGATACAGTGGTAAATAATTACAGCATAGGGGAGGTGCGTATACTTGTGGCCCGGTCTCACAAGGATCTTGGAGTGACAGTAAAGCATTATCTTAAGACCACTGCCCACTACCGGGAGTTTACGGCTAAGAGGTCTAGAACCCCACTGGCTGTAAGACGGACATTACCAAATTAGATACTACCATTTGCAATACAATATACAAAATCCTACACAATACTAAGCTAGAAAACTTCATCCAGGCTGCAAGCTCCTGCCAGAAAGGTGACTCAGATATCCTGAAAACAGTACAGAGGGCAGCTACTCACGCAGTTCCAGAACTACGGGATTTACCATACAAAAAGTGGCTTGGAAAGCTAGACCTCTTTACGAGGTGATATGATCTTGATGTACAGAATAATAAGAAAAGATTTTGAACTTAATATATCCCCTCTTTTTCTTTCCACTAGATCGTGACATCTTAGAGGACATAGCAGGCTAGCAGAAAGGCCAACAACGAACAAAATACCCGGGACAAACAGGTTTTCACACCGGGTCGTCAATAATTGGAACTCGTTACCCGAAGCAGTGGTAGCCGTATCTTCAGTTGACTCATTCAGGAGAAGACTGGACACTCATAGAAGCATAGTAGAAAAGGCAGAACGTTGACGGTAGGCCTTTTGTCCTTGCTACACAAATCTGAATAAGTAACTTCCAAACCAACTGAAACTAGTGAAGTTGAATGGTTAAAATGAGCCTCATTGAACCGTCCATAAAGGACCTTGAACTGCACTGGAACAAAAGCAAATGAGTCCAAAGAATTCAAACTCAATACTCAAGGTCATCACGATGATATTGGATATCGTATATTATAGTTTACTGCCACCTTTAAAGATGAAGGTTGTTTGGCACCTCAAGTCATGTCGTACTTTTCACACCAGTGTACTTTGTCCTCAGTGGCGCTTGAAATTACTTGAAAAGACAGTCGTTCACTGTCATGTTTTCACAGTACCAGTAAACCGCTTCTTTTCAACTCGTAAAAAAGATGTAATTTCTGATATGATAATTGCTACGATCTGCAGAATCAACTTACGATATTCACGATTCCTAATTTAATTACAGCTTCACGAATCACACTTACTCCTTTTATTGTTAAATCTATTTTTTGCTGTGATCTGAGTATGGCTTTAGGTCTTACTATCGTTGCCGGAGTCACAGATACGGTGAGATTTTGTTTGGCTTTTTTATATGAAACTTGTGAAGTTAGATGGGCTTATAGCCCGAAATATGTCAAACCAGGCATCAAATGTTGGAAGTTTTTTGGACCCTCTTGCTGACAAACTTCTTGTGACTTCTTTGGTTTTGTCATTGACAGTGATGGATTTTTTCCCAGGTAACAAGACGCTCGTCAGCTGAGATTCCACTAGTCAGTCTTGCCTGTCTTTTTATTTTCCGTGATTTAGGAATAGTTATCACAGTTTTGTTTCTAATGTTCCGGAATTTCGGTTCAGTAGGTTCGCATATTCTATAAAATGTCTTCAGCTTACTACGAAGATATTCACCGAGAAAGTTGAAATGAAGGCATCAAATATCAGCAAGGTATGTTTACTTCTCACAGTTAGTTCAGTGGTGTGAAATCTTAAATTAGCTTGGTTATATCTGCAGCTTAACTCAATATTCTGTTTGACCTTCTACTGTCCCGTAAAATTAATTGCACACCTTTGAATGTTAGTTTGATGCAATTATCTTCACGAAGGTATGAATCAGTGCCTCTATGGTAATTTCGTTCTCAGTTGCTTTTTAGTCAGCCTGAATGATAACAAGATTAAGTTTCGTTCACTTAGCCTTGAATTATGCAAAAACTTCAAATCTCTCTAGTCCTTTCGTAGTTCTAAAATCCCTTTCGCTCACTTTGTTAGTCGATCTCCAGTTTCTTAGGTATGAGTGGTCCTGACCAGTGTAATTTGTAAAATCCTAGCTTCAGTAAAGATCTGGAGTTTATACTGAATTTAGGAACAATAAACTGGATTAATTTGATTACTTTCAAACCTGGTCGTTAATGTATTGACCAAATCCCTACCATTCTTTGAGTTTTTGAACATAAACATCAATATCCGTTAAACTTAATTAAGATTATGTCTTTACACTTGTTCTTAAACAGAGCGGTATAACTCGTCCGGTTTCGCTCTTCAACAGAACAACAATTTTAGTGTTGTAGAACTTTTCAGTTTATTAGCAAACGGTAGCCGTGCACAACTTAATTCATTGAATCTTAGTTAAGTGAAGAAACTTACTTTTCTACTTTAATTTTGACTAAGATGCCACGTTTTGACCTTTTGTTAAAAACCAGGCTTCTAATCGCCTTTCTATACAAATGTTTGTTTTGTACAGCTACCCGTTTAGGTCTGTTTGCGTCTTACGGTTAGTCAGTCAGCTACGGCGTAGGACCAGGCACATATATGCATCGGTTCAAGTTGCCACACCTCATTAACACAACAAGGTGAACACCAAAATCGTAGTAGTTACTTCATTGGTAGTAACATAAATGAAAAATAGCATATAAGGATATAATACAGGAAGAAAGAATTAGTTCGTAGAAAGAAAGGTATAAAGTAACTTTAGTCTCATAGGATGACAAAGGGTGTATATACCTACTCCATTGTGATCAATTCTGAGTCATGTCACCTAGTGTTCAGCCACTGGTTCCCCACAAAATAATGAAACTTTTCTGGGTAAAAACCTCTGTCTTGCTTAGATTTTTGTCTGTTCTGGAGTTTTATTAAACGATTGGTCATTCATTTTTTCAGTCTTTTAATTGTCTAATTATTATTATTTCCAATAATTCTTACATTGACTTTATAGCTGAATACTCTTTGTCAATTATCGAGTATCATACTTAGCATGACATATCCTTTGTATGGAATCCCTAACTATGAATACCTAAAGGTTGTATGGTGAGTTAAAATGTTTGCAAAATTTAAATATTTCCATTTTATGATTTATGAAGGCCTATTTAATTTGATAATCAGTAAGTCATTCATAAGTAGTGTAAATCCTGACACATATGTGTATTAGTTCACCACAAACCGACGTCTGTAAAATTTAAAAGTGAGAGTACTAAACAGTCGTCTTTTCTGGTTCAATACTTCTTAGCGTTGTGTACTTACGGTCTCATAATACCACGTTCAAGGTCTCGTAAAAATAACACTTGACTACTATGTTCGAATCCGGTGATATACATTGCAATGCGTTTTAACAGTCATCAAATGTCATAGATGGGGGTTACCTTGTTCTGTACTCGATTAGATCCACAGATCACGACCTGCCATTAGAACTTCGGGGGAAAGCAGGTCACCATTTAGCACTGCGATTTAATGAAATTTCATAAATACAAGTTTGGAGATAAATTTTGACACAAACTGACAAGTTATTTGTTTGCTGTTTTTCGAAATACATGGTCTGATCATTTTTATATATGTTTTGACTAGTTTATTGATTAATTTGACACTAATCGGCAACAGTTAATCGTGTGACAAACCAAAGATCTAGGAAAACATTTTCCAAACTTATTCCGTCAATATATTTTTAATGAAGCAGGTGCGATAAATAAAATAAGGTAAAGTCAAGGACAATACAAATGGAACGCATAGCATATTTGATATTTGAGAAAATATGTATATATCGTGGATTGTTTTACCAACTATATATTAAAAGATTCGAAGTACCAGTAGATTAATTATGAAATTTCTTTAATAATAATTTTTTTCTGGAGCCGTATCTTTTTTATCTCTCAAATTGAGCTCTACAATTCTATTTTGTCTACCAAAATTGTTTTAATACATAGTTTTCTAATGAAGTGTAAATATGCCTTTCGAAAAATCTTTATTTGTGATTTTATCCTAATCTCTCACATGATATTCTTGTGCAAAATTACTTTAAACAGCCACTGTTATTAGCAGTGGGTATTTCACTAAAATCGGTAGTGTATAAACCATTATAAGATAAAAGTTGTTGCTAGTAGAAAGCAATACAGCTACCATGGTCGGTAGTTTTAAGAGCGTTAATAATCATTTACTTCTTATTGTTACTGCATCAACTTATAAAAAACCTATTTGTAACAAAAAGCAATTAAAATCAAAATGCTTAACAAACGTAAGTTTAGATAAATTGACCTCTAAAGAGTTTCATATAAAAAGTAGATGCAACCAGTACACTACATATTTTTTATTTGATATCTCTGGCTTATAAATAACCGACAAATCTTGGTTTGATAATCGTATTCCGGTGACAAATATAACTCTATTCCACAAATTTATTATTTCTCTTGCAATCATATTTTCTGTCGAATCTTGCTACTGCCAATTTAATCACCACTGCGCCTATTACACTGATATTCCTTTCGGTAATTCCATTTGTTTTGCTCATGCGGCGTAGCAACCTGAAATGATTCACATTTGTGATATATGTAAGTCCCTGAGCGATAGCACCGTCTTAATTCACAAATTAAAATTCCGATTACTATTTTTCTATCTCACATCTATTATTCCATCGATAACCTAGAGTCTTAGACTTGATTAATTGTACGTTGTAACCGGCAAAAGTAACATTCAGCTATCGTAACATACACTCCTATTCGTCTACCTATCTGCAAGACTTGCTGTGTCCCCACCCTTGAACCTGAATAGAAGCCAGCACTTAAGCTTCTATTATTACTATATTTCGATTACTCAATCCAGCTAGCCAACATCTCAGACACTCATTAGGATATATATATGCAATGTCAGTTTTCACAACACATCTAATAGTGACTGTAGATTAACTGTGTATTTAATCTATGTATTTTATCCACAAAATTATTTAAACCATAAACAGTACTTGCTCACAGTTGTCCAAACCATTTATTTTGGTAGTCCAACAGTGTCATTAAATATAAATGCCCACTTCACAATTATGAATTTAAATGTGATTACAAACGATTTCTTCATTTTTTTAAAAACTAGATTTACTGAATACTAACACTCATAGTGTTTAGTTAGGTTAAGTATACATCTTGTTCTATACTGTGTGCGTTCTCACTGGTATACTGGCGACGTATTGGCAATCAGTGATTGGACGTACTTAATGTCGTTCTCCTTTAGCTTAACCTTCTGTAACTTTTCCTAACCAATGCGGTTATGTAATAGTCATTATTTTTAACCATTGCTCGTTATATTGATTAATAGGGTCTTGGAGACAAGCGAGATGTTCCTTTATGAACGATTTAATATTTATTTATAATTGTCTAACTTTAAAAGTCTGCGCACTATATATTGAACTATCTTTTCATTGACCAAATCAGTATTACATTCGGTCGAATTAAAATACTATTCAAATTTTATGATGGGCACATTTAATTTATGGTTAAATCAAACGAAATATGTCGGAAGTAAAACAATCGTCATTAATGGCATTGGATTGTTGTTGTACTATATTTCGAATCGATTGAAGTGAAAATTGTACCGTTGAACCTCATGGCTCTAACCGTCAAGTGTCTGCTACGAGACTTATGGCTTCTAGGTTAGATCCCTGGTGAAGTTGTAGTTGTGTACTACTGAGGAGTCTTATACTAGGACTAGACACCTGTCTAGTATTCTCTGACTTTCAGTCATATCCCAACTGAGATTAACCTGTGACTAATACAATCTACAAGTCAAACCAATCTCCATAAAACTCATTCAATTAAATTAAACCGCTGAAAAGATACCATATTATTTAGCATAGACAATCTATTATATTACTCATTTTATGTATAATACCATCATTGTTTTTCTTTCAAAGTTTATAAATCATTTTTCCTACTAGGCTTCTTTCAGCTGGAACTACAATTGGATCTGGTTTAGGATATTTAAAAAGTTTACCAGAATGGCGGAAACGGATGGCTGAAATCTCCAAAAAAAATAGATAGATAAACTATTTTTATTTTGTACACGGTTTTTTAATCAACAATTTATATCAAATTGCATCTCCTTCAACGAAATGGTTGTCCTCATTGTCAATAGTTTACATATATATAACATGTTGTGAAAACTAACCGTTTGATTGAATAAAATCCAGAGAAATAAACTATTATAAAGAAAATAAATGAAAATATCCCATATAAAACTTGAAAACAATTATCATCTATTAACTTATGATAATTTACTCTATTAAAGTTTAATGCATAAATCTTAATATAAACCTAAAGAATAATTTCATGTTATTTAAAAGTCAAGTCGTCATCTCTGTTCTCTTTCAACTGAATGATTCAAAGTGAATACACACTTACTATAAAACCTAAAAGTCCTGAATTCTATTTCTGTGTCATAGGTATGCACTGTTAAGCAACTCTCATATACTAGTGTGAATCAGCTGTCCAATGTTCTTTAGATTTTATTGCGAATCAATTAATTTAGTGGTCTCTTTGGATAAAACAAGTATATACATGAAGTTGAATTAACAGGTCAACAAAAAATGTGAGTTATATCAAATTTACAGATAAGTACATTGTAGCAAGAGTCTGTAGCTGTCTCATTAGGTGACAAATAATAATCACTAGTTTATTTTTTAACAACAAATGAGTAGAAGTAACTATTCTGTTTAGAAAAAAACAACAACATACCAACATCGCAGAAACTTTATTTTTAAAGTATACAGGGCGTCAAACTTATCCTCTTTCACAATAATGGTCTCATTTTTGCTAAATGCGTTTTCATTATCCATATTAAGTCAAACTGACTAAAGGTGGTGAAGACTCAAGTACAGTTGGTTGGCTATTCTATTATCTATTGGTAACAACATCTATTGCGCACTTTAACGGGTATTTATTGGAGAAAGCAAAACGGAAATTTTATGCAATGGGACCAAACTGTAGTTACTAGAATAATGCTAGGATGACAGTTGTCTTTGCTGCGTAGATTCGGCAGTGTGGAAGTGAGAATTTTGTTGAACTATTGATCTAGTGATACACTACTGTGAAAATCTAATCTAAGATTCTTTCAGGGATGCCTAGTGAAAACAGTCACAAGCTTGTATTTCTTTGCACTCATCTTTGTGAGGACCTATGCGTTCGTCAATGACGTTGAAATTAGGTCAACTGGATTATTATAGAATAGGTCTCATAAATCGCAGTGCAATCAAATAAAAGTAGATTTTATAAAAGGAAGTCCTTTGGCCTCCGTTATTCCGTCTGAAATAATCTAATTCAGACTGTGATTGAACAATTACTTTACGAAGAGGAAGAATAGCTTGTTGTTGATATTATCTTCAAAATATGAATCCTTACTTTTAACAACTAGTATCTTCCATTGTAATTTGTTGAATGGAAGCCTTTACGACTAATTATTCAATCTAAGTAACTAATCTTTTAGTCATGTATTCTAGTGAGCAGATAAGAAAGACTTAACTAACTTTGTTATACTTCTATCTCACTATTTCCCAATAGCTAATTGTTGTGTCGTATCTCTACAGTTTATTCAGTTCACATTTGCTTATCCTATTCAGCATATAGCATTTTCAGCAGCTTATTTGGTTTTGATACATTTGGCTAATCAGAAATCGTCCAAATGATAGGTTCATATGATTGGCCAAGAACTAGCTTTCATTTGTAATGAACAAATCATACACCATTGGTGGCCTTAGTCTCTCCTGTCGAGTAGTTGTTTATTGCACTTGTGAGTAATAAGACCACTTGTCAGTTTCAACTATCAAATACTACACATCATGACAGGCCTTAATTTCTATGTCGAGCATAAAAATATCGGAAGAACTAAGTTCTCATGTTCAGAATATTAATAATGGGCTTATATGGTTCACTGTTAATTAGACATTGGACATTTCTCATCCTATAGATTAAAAACTCCTTAGAATATTATGATCAAAAATTTTTAGCTGACCATCTTTAAGCAAACAAAAAAGATGGACTTTGAAGAAATATCGACGACATTTTTCAGGAAAACTCCGTGCAACTACAGGCGAAAATACACCAAGTTTCCATCTTTTCCACCAATCTGGGGAAATGTCTCAGAGTCGGTATATCAGCCTTCGCTTGAATTAACATCAAGTAATCTAATTTTCCCACAGATTAAAACCGATCAGTATTCTTTCCCCTTAAATTTTGCCAGTGGGGAAACACCTATAATTAACATAGTTCTTTCGTTTATTTCCTTTTTTAAACTTGGGTCCTGGTGTTTTGCAGTACAAAAAGTTCACCATTGGTTCTAGTCGAATATGTTAAGAATACCTGTGAACAAGAGGTTGCCGTCATTCTTTTTACGTATAGCCTACTGAAGTGTAGTTAGTTATGGATTTGTCTAATGCGTAGAGTACAAGATTAATTTCTGACAGGAGAATGGTTGGTAATTTGTTATAACGAATTGTGTGATGATAAATGAGTTTGGTTTTAGTTTTAAGGCAGTTGCTACTCACCACCAAACTAAGTGAATTTTGCATGTTTTGTAGTGGCACGGAATATAAGTTCATAAATGGGTGGTTGAAGACGGTATAGACCAATAGTTTACAACTGCAAACGGTTTTTATGAGTCTAAATATCTGTGACAGGAGACATTCATTTCTTTCAAAATTTATACAGTAAATTAATTCCATATGAACTGTAATGAAAAACTTCAGATAAATGAGTCGAGGAAATCTGACCTGTTTCAAGTTAGTTTTGATCTGACGTGTACATCAATTGAGGAGTTACTCTAAGTTGAGACATACCGAATGAACTTTAATTCAACTTTTTCATATACTAATATGTAACTGACGGTTATAGTATGTTATGCTACGTTATCACTGGACTGAAGTTAACATGAGGGACGTATTCAACTTCAGTACTTACTACAATTCCTTAAGGTAATCGGTTCATTCCCAACAGTTGGGATGAGTGTTGAAGAATAAAACTAAATAGGTATACACATTTTTATTACTTTACAATGATTGTCTGATGTACACTAACTTGTTCTTGTGAAGAATTATGTGATTACTTTGCTATATGTCTACATATTCAAAATATTTCATTCTTTGTAAATAGCTCATTTATTATTCTATTTCTCTGACAAACAACTTTATTAGTTTGGTTAACCAGAACAGAAAAAGCCAGCCAACTTAGTTTCTACAACTCCTCGTCCTTTTCTTTTTTGTTACAACTTTAAGCAGTCCCTCAGTTTTAAGAGTGTATATTCCCGTTTAAACTCAACTAGTTCAGTTTTCTTTTTTTTAACGCTTATATTCAGTACAGTAACTCTAGTTTCCATTGTTATATCTATTTACCTATTAGTTTACTCTGTCCCTTCCAATATGAAGCATATTCATCCACAAATAACACTACTAACAACTATGATAACTAAACTAAATGGGAGTTATTTCACAATTATTGCTTATCGATCATTGCTGACAGTTGTAAAGGTGACATTCATTATATTCTGTTGAAAGTAACGAACCTTGAAATTACATAGGATTCTTAGAATAAATTTCATAGAAATATTTGTGACTACTAATTTACTGCAGTATTTTTGGATATCATTTAACAAGTCTATACAGATTAACTATTGTTTTATTCGATGTCATTGTCATTAAATAAGTTGACATCTGGAACTAATATCACACATTTGTCTGTTAAAATTATATTGTTAACGTTTAAATTAGCTCGTGAACATTTCCGTTCAAAAGTAACTAAGAATACAATCTTCTTATTAGCCAAATGGCATCTAATGAGAAAATAGTTTGCTATACTTTTCAATAAGTGGACTATGAAATTATAACAAACATCACAATGGAAGTACTACACTGAGATAGTTTATTAGCATGAAGTACCTGTGGAATTTTATAGTTTCAAGATAGTTTACATCATTTTAACTAAACAACTATTGAAAACTAGGAAATACTAAAGACTACTGTGTCATCCTTTTGTATAGGATTCCTTAAAAATGCCTACCCACTATCCTTCTTACCAGGAATCAAAATGAGGAATTTTGTAATGACTACGTGGCTTTCAAGACATTAGGTTGCTACTAAAAATTCACATTTCCAACTTTAGTCAATTCACGGTATTGTGGATATATTATTTCCATTATCTGTCAGTACAGCAACATTTATTCAAAGCGGAGATGTATTGTATCCGAATGAGATTAAATTGTGGGTAACTTCTGGGGACTATTCGTGGACAGTAATAATATATTTTTTAGTGTATAGCTACTAAGTAACTGGATTGTATATATTTATATTACTTTTATTATAAGCTTTCATGTGACCTGTTGGCTACTATTAAACGATTTGCTATTTTTAAGTTATTCCCAATCTACTAGTTACAGTCTCTCACACTCGCAGTCACTTTTGACTTGATCTTTTATAATTGTTATTTTTCTGTTTTATGGTATTATGTGGTCTTATTTGTTTGTATATAAACCGCGTATGTCTGAAATTTACGACTCACACAGCGGATGCTGATATTTGTCGTCTGAACTGAAGCGGCTAGGTTAGGCGTGAAGCTACAACACAGAAGACCAATAAGGACCTAAAATTGACTCAAGAGTGGTTATGCTGATTAACGCGTCACTGGTTTATCATAGGGACAGTGTCATAGAAGTCAGTATTCTAAGTGGCAATTTTGTCATGTGATATTTGACGGGCCATAAGACATAACAAGATAAATAGTGGTTAGCGACGAAATTCATGACGCGTGTTTCTTCTTATTTGAGAATCGTCAACTGAATGTGTCTGGATCTCAGAAATGAAGTTCACTCTGGGACCAGATCCAGTATCTTTCGCTTCTAACGCCACCATATTATTCACTGAGTCAAGGTAGCCACCGGTTTGTGCAATGGGATAGATTTTAGTTCATATGTATTGGTTAGTTGAATCTCCCCATTCATATTTAGGGTTGAAAAAATGGCAACACAAAGGCAATCTGTACAGAATCCACACACAACAGAGAAGAGACTGGTCAATTGCAGTCCCAAACAACGTTGGTATCATTCATGTAACCAATAAATATCACTTTTTTTTCTAAAATTAAGAACTATATGATGATAATTTGGTCAATAACTTCTAATAATAAAACGGAATAAAAGATGTGGAATATGCATCTGATTTACACAAGGTAATAATTGTTGGAATGTTCATTTTTTTATGATAATTACATGAATATGCAATAATGTGAATCTTATTATTTATATATATATATATATTCTTACTACTAGTAGTGATATAAGTAGTGTTATTCAAAAAGGACTAGACAAATCATTATTTGTGTACATGTGATTTATAGCAATTTATATAATGAATTGTTGTATACAGATATGATAATACTAGTATTTTGATTAAAGTCAATTATTGAAGAGGAAATGATTTAATGATGATGATGATTATGAAGAGAAGGAGTGAGATGTAGAAGTAGAGGAATACAAAAGTGAATTAATATGTTGATGATGGATTATGTGATTCATTGTTATTATCATCATTAGTGCTTATCAATTTACTATTCACATGATTATACACATATGAATCATTTAAAACTCTAACTGAATTCGATTCACCATTATGAGTTAAATTAAGGAAACTTGAAACATTGTTCATTTGTTTTATGAATTGAGGATTTAAAGTTGAATTCATTATTAAATTCAATGTAGTATTAGTAGTGGTAAAAAAAGAAGAATATGTTTCAATATCAGTTACATTGGTAACTGTTGTAGCCACTGTTAATGTTGTTGTTGTTGCTGCTGCTGCTGGAGATGATGGCGTTGATCCTGTTGTACTTGATGCATTAGGTACAGTTTGAGTTTCAGTTGCAGAACGTATTATATATGCAAATATTAAACCTAATATAGTTAATATAGCACCCATTGTAACAATACGAGCTAAACGATGATTTTCAATAAGATTTGAATAAGCTTCATCTTCATCATCTGAATTTGTACAACATGTACAACATAAAAGATCAACTAGGATAGATCTATCCACTGTAGTGGTTGTTGGTGACATTGTATTATTATTATTATTATTATTACTAGTTAAAATAGTATTTGGATTATTAGATTTATTATAATGAACATTTGATAATGTACCGATTGAACCACTAGTTCTATGTTGATTTGGATTACCACCAATTATTGTATTAAAAATGCTACGTTCCATTAAACGTTGACTTGAAACACTACTTCGTATACCGATTGTATTATTATTATTATTATTATCAAAATTTAAGTCAGTATGTTGTTGTATAAAACTTGATCGAGATGACTTTTTATGACTATCTGCATCAGAATTAAAAAGAGCATTATCATAATTAGTATTACTATTATCATTAGTATTAGTATTATGTTTAGAAATCATCTGTTTTAATCGTTTCCCAGATGATGATATTCTTCTTGTATTTAATGAAAATTAGATGAATAATGTTCATTAGGATAATTAATTGATGTTTCTTGTGTAAATCCTAAATTATTACTAATTTGTGAAAAGATCATTGCAAGTGATTTACGTGGATTAGTTAAAATTGATGAATGACGACGTTTTTCAATAGAGATTTGTCTTGGAAATGGTTGCCAATATTGTTGTTGTTGATTTACTTGAAAAATGGTTTCTTCATCATTTATTATATTTGATGATTGTGACAAGTTAGAATTAGAATATTGTTCATTTATTGATGAAAATTTCATTGTTATCTTATCATTATTTATATTATAATTTGTATTCATTGTTTCTTCATGTTTGTTTGAAGTGTTTTCATGAATGTCATAGTTCTTGTTTTCTATTCGATCATATTTAGCATCCTAATAATGTTGAAAAAAGGTAAACAAATATACTCAAGTATAAAGAAAGTTGATTGTTTAAAGACTTTGATGAAGTTTTGTTCTTTGAGCTGGATGGTTTGGTCATGGAGCTTTGATCGTTCTTCTGAACGACATCATCATGATCATAAAGTTTGTGCTCTATCCAAATCATCCACTTTAGCTATAAATCTTCACCACTTACAACAAATCTAAATGTTTCTTAAGTAAATTGGTTTACGCATAACCGATTAACTTCTGAATTATTTTCATTATTAATGAATATCAGTTTTAGAAGTGCTGAATACTCGAAACTACAGAACTTTTACGCTTAGTCGTGATTTAGAATCTAAGGTGATATATTTGATCTTACGAGGGTTTGTATTATCTTGTTCATACTAAGAATTAAATTTGATCAATCTACAGATAACACTGTTATTCTAATCTATGATTGTTTGATTTGAATCTCAGTTGGAATAATCAATATAAATCCAATTATATTCAACTGGTAAATTAATGAGGCGTCCTTCCTAGGATCGCACTACTGCTCATTATTCAAAACATATTTGATCTTATTTGAAAACATTTTGCTTACAACATAACTTCTTATTAAGCAATGAATGATAGTGGTTAGCAGTGGAGTCCAGTTTGACGCGCGTCTCGTCCTACTTGGGATTCGTCAGCTGGATGTACCCGCACCCTAAGGCTGATGTTCATTCTGGGACTCGAACCCAGTACCATTCGCTTCAAACGCTATCACGTTATCCACTCAGCTACTGAGTCCTGATAATCACTTGCTTGTGCAATGGGGTGAACTTAAATTCACTTGGTATTATTTGGGTTATATCTTCCCATTGAGGTTTAAGACTGCAATCGATCAGTCCTGTATTCCACTACTAGCCACTATCCATCATTGCTTACAAAGTTTGTGAATTAAGGCAATATCAAGGCATACGTACAGTAAGCACATATGCCAATAACAGACTGATCAATTGCAGTCTTAAACCTCAATGGGAAGATACATGCCAAACAATACCAACTGAATATCTTATTCTTTGTCAAATTTCAGTCTATAAACCTTTGACTGTATAATGAAGAAAGCATTTCAACATTTATAAGGTCTATTTGTCAAATTAACCATTTTATCTTAAACAACTCGTAGCAATGTTGTTTCACTTATTACTTATAAGCCAGCGTTATTTTAATACAGAATACTTCATTTTCATAAATAATATGAGTTATTATTTCAGTGTAGAATGGTTTCGACTCTCTATGTATTAACAATACATAAAGTAGATTACATTGTTTTTAAGATTATCAACAGTCTAGTTTTCAAAATACTAAGCTTCATGGAGGGAAAACTTGATAAGTAAAGTATATTTTTGATTTAGATCATGAACCGATCGATATTAAACCACCTTTGGAAACCTGGAAGCACTGGAAGGCCGTTTCGTTCTATTGTGGGACTCCTCAGCAGTGCGCATCCACGATCTCGCCCGCGAACGCTTAACCTACTGGACCATTGAGCCGGCATCCAATGTTGATAGTGTATTGAATTTAGCTCATAGAATAGTCTAGGTACTTGTTGGTTTTGTTCCCTTTACTTGTAATGCTGCAAATGTTTATCCAAAATAATATCTATGGTATATATGAGTTACTTTTGTTGAATATTCCATAAATTATATTCTGAATATCTTGTCTTTCTATGAGCAAAGTTATAAATGATGTACACATGCTGTATTTCACAAGCCCTATCATGTATCTTTTTTTTATTTCACTTACTCACTTGTAATTGATATGTCTCTCATTCTCCATGAAACACTGATATTGATTAAAGTTGGTGTTCGTCAATGTTACCCATTATATATATCCTACTGGTTATAACCATTTTTGCATCTAACATTAAAGGAGTTGATCCCATGCCAAGAGGTTTACTTGTTAACTTCAAATACACAGATAATGTAGTGTTTGGTGAACTGAATGACATAATCCAAAGATTGCCTCGATTAACACTATATGCCTGTTTGAGATGTTTTTCTCACTCTAAATGAAAAATCTCCCTTTTGGATTGATCTACATCAGTACCTAAACCATTTTTGGCGAGTGAATTAGTTGAGTACATCAAAAATTTTATTCACTAAACTCACTTGACTATATCTCAGTTTTCGTTGGGATGGCTTACGAGAACTACGACAGAGGCCCTAGAGGAGCCGAAGTGTCCCATCCACTCAGAACGCAATGGAGATATCTAGAATATCAACATGGTATGCTACTATTGGTTAGTAGCATAACATGCCTCTTTGCGGATTGGTTGAATTATAATGTTGATATAATAAACGCTAATGTCTATTGTCTATTTTTCTGCACATCCTAACATCTATAAATACCCAAAATTTTCTATACATTTTCATTCTTGTCCAACAGGCACTTTCTCCAGTTTTCTTCTGTCTTCTTATTTGTGACTTGGGTTATAGCATTCTTGCTCAAGTTATACGCGGTATACTAAGAATCTAAGCTCCTAGATACAACAGTTTTATTATTGGTATTGTATTATATTGTATTCTATTCCTCACTCTTAATATGTAACTTAAGTCAATGCAATTTTCATTATTTATGTCGTGTTCTTAATTTCTTTTTATATTTTAACAAGTGTATTTGTAGTCGAATAGTCAAAAACTTTAGTTGTCATAACCATAGATCTAGGTATTAGGTTTAGTTCAATTACGCAAAGTACCGTACTTCGATGTGAACAAAAGTTGAAATCACAAAATGGTGCACAAATTTTTTTCGAAATATTTAGGATCTGATTGGTATGTAAGGGCATTTCATATTTGACATGTATGATTCAAAATACGTTTACTTATTTCCTATTCATTAAAATGCTTAAATTCAATGTTAATTATTGTTTGTTTCATTGAATTTGGAGATTCCAAATATCCTCATACTCCTCCTAGGTCTTACTCATAAGAACTTTATTAGAAGCTAATATCATCTTATTGAAATGTATGAGATGAATTCATAAATGAGCTTTGAAATCGAAAGCTCTGTTTAATACTGTATCAAGTAAGGCATGTTTTTTTATTGAGATCACGAACCAATTGAAAACCTGGAAGCACGAGACGTCCATTTCGTCCTATTGTGGGACTCCTCAGCTTTGTGCATCCACGATCTCGCTCGCGTTTATGTTTTAATTACCATTCAGTTTAATTTAGAAACTATATTCAATTCTTTTATCAAATGAAACACGTTAGGCGTCAGGAAGACATTAATGAACTGGTCAGTCCCACTAGAGGTTAGTTATTACTTGAATAATCAAGGGAAAGCCCCCAAATGCCCTGTTATAGCCGAGAGTGGGGTGGGCCTGCCCTTCCTCTCGAAATGCTCTCACACGGCCACGCGTATACAGCCTCTGCCAGGGAAGTCCTGCTCACTGCCTTCTCGTGTTGGAGACGTTGTTTACGAAATTAAGAGGACGAAAAGCGAATGTCCGGTGCTTTAACCGGATTCCAAACCAATGATGCACATAGGCTACAGAATCCTGAAGGAACAAATGGCGTATGAACCAATCGTTGATCACCGGCTACCATGGGAATGCATCTCTTCACGATTCTCCACTGCCTTGTGGGTTAGACCTTTAGGTCCAAGGCCCGGGGTGTGGTCCCCTAAGAAAACCACCTGCTTCGGTCTGGGCATCTGGGCAGTCTCCCACCCCTCACACAAATCGAATGATTTATGTAGAGCATATATATTTGATGCCTCCTTGTACCAATGTTTATGTGTTTAAATAAATAAAATAAATAAGCAAGTGAATAATTCGTTCAACTGAAATACTGACTAGTAACTAGGAAGTTTCAAAATGAGCATTAGTGATCTTTAGCCACGAGATATATCTTATTGATAACTTTTTTGGAAAAGAACTTAAAGCACCAACATTCCACTCTTTTTTAAACATCTATTAAATTAGAAAATTATAACTACAAAGAAGAGAAGATGAAATAAGACTTACTTTTTTCAATGGTGATCGTTTTATATTTTCTAAATTTGTTATTATTTCCTCCCATTGAACATTGTTCTCATCTGCATTTACATTTCCATTCTCATAATCATCATCGTCGTCGTCGTCATCTGTTATGACACCCCAACCAGGAAATCTGTCAGATAAACTTGACTTCAGTTTATCTACAGGTTTCTTCTCATTATTTGTTAATTTTATTTTATTGTTAGTGGATTGGTTATTTTGAGTGTTAGATATTTCGAATTTATTAGTTACATTATTATCACCATTAGTAGTAGTATTAGTAGTACTGGTAGTACTAGTCTGTTTATTAACTGGTTCAATAAAAGCAACTCTTGGTTTCAAATTTTTACTTGCAATTTCATTTACTATAACACATTCTGTTGAAGGATTTCTTGAAGTTATTGTAGAATATGATGTTATCATTGTGCCAATCGATTTTTTCATTGATTCATTAGAAGGTACTGCGTTTAATTTTGATTCTATAGTTTGTCTTGATGGTAAAACTACTAATTTATTTGATGATGAACCTTTATCATATGTACTAGTGTAAATATTATCATTACTATTATTTCTCATCTGATTGGTAGTATTAGTAGTAGTATTAATAGTAGTATCTGTAGTAATATACAAGTTGTTGTTGTTGAAACTTCTAGATATATTTTGTAAATTAATGTACTGTGGATCATTTGATGATTTTGATAAATAAGAGTCATTTGATGACTTCTTACTATTAACTGTATTATTTGTGGATTTATAGTTAGAAGATTTATTTGCAATTATCACAGGTTCTTGGATGGATAATAAAGATGGTGAAGAACAACTACTATCTTCCTTAATATTAATTTCTCTTTGTTGAATTAGTGCTGATGGTAATGATTGTTGTTGGTGATGATGTTGAAGTGGGTGATGTTGATGATGAAGATTATAATGATTTGTTGAAAGTGGTGGAGGAATACGTACAAACGGGGGTGGTTTGGCACGAATTTGTGAATCCAGTGCAGAAAATGGTAGTTTTACACCAAGCTGAATATTTTAAACATTGGGAAACATTTTTTTGAGTATCTTTAAAATGATTGTAAGTTTCAAAGAATATACCATCATAATAATGTTAAGTGACCCAAGTAACCATCAGGTTCCTCATTGATTTATGACATCCTTGCTAGCATTAGCATGACAAGTTCATCTACATCTATATAGCAAGTCCATCTGACCAACTAACATTGAGCAAAATACACACAAAGAGATCAGTTAAGTCAGATGAATAGCTACATTAACTAACCTGTTCAGTAAAGTTCTGTCAACAGAAAGCACTTGACAAATATATCATTGGTTGATACTCAGTAAAATTTTAACGTCTTAATTTAGACAGGGGTTATTTTCCTTGATAAGTTTACAATATGCATTTCAATACTAAATTATGTACTATAAATGATAACAATGCAAATTTGCATGACATCTATAGGATGTGTTTAATTAAGCAAGGAGTTATAAAATTAATAAACTGACATCAAACGAGATGAATTTTATAAAATAATTGTTTAAATAAAAATACAATTTAAACTATACTGAGTGAAAGGATATCGAAGATATAGAACTTAATATAGTGCTAGGTTTGAAGCTATCACGAGTTCACTTAATCGGCGAACGAGAACAAGACTCGGTGACCAAAGACGAGTAAGCCAGCTATTGATGCGTCCCAGCTCCGCTAACTAGATACAAAAGTCCAAGCTCGGAATATGAAGTATATTCTGCAAACAGCTGGAAACGAGCGATAACAACAAACATAATTCAAAACGTATATATACAGTGCAAAACCGTCATTGGGGAGAGTTACCAAATAGCATATTAAAAGATGCAACGGACCAATATCATTTAAAATACTTCCGAGTGGGAAATACGACATGAAGGTGAGAAGAGCGCCTATGGTGCGAAAACAAAGAAATTCAAAATTTCTAAATAAAATTACAAAATTAGGTCCTTTCCCAAGTGAGTACTGGGGGCGTAACGTCCCCAACATATAGTGAGATTAGTAACTTTCTTCGTATAAAAGCACATCAAGTTCAAATTTAAATATGAAGCATGTTTTTCCCTTATTATATAGAGATCAAAGTTCATTTCGTTGATAACCAAAACTTGAATACTCGAAGACTTTGAAAAGCTGAAATATATCCTACAAGCAACCTTTATTCCAGGATTTGCATATTTTTCTTTGTATACTGTCCATTAATTCCAAAAACTAGTTCAGTAAATTTATTTTCTAAACTGATTATAGTGTCCATAGAATGGTCGCATAACATATCATTCTCATTTATCCTACTTATAAATAGTATAATATGATTTGTAGAATATTTTAAGGTTCTTCAGGGTGAGACTATAATTTATGGATGATCTTTAAGCGACGCTAAAGAGACCTTGAGAATATCCGCCTACATTCTACAGCTAAATGAAGGTTATAAACCAGTGTAAGGAATTAGGATTAATATTTACATTTGATGGTTAGGAATAGGAATCAGATATAGGGTTTTCATCATGAACTGATATCAGCTATAATGGCAAAACTCTATTTAACTAAATGAATAAATCAATTTCGTGCTAAAATTCAAAATTTGTCATCGTATCTCTGATTGGTTCATCCATAAATTGTAGTATCTCCCTATTCAATAAATATTCGTGATGGAAGTCGACTTTGTATATTACTACTAGATACCAGTAGGTAGGTAGGAAGATACAAGTAAAACAACACCAAGTGAATCTAAACTTCACCCCATTGCACAAACAGGTGACTAACAGAACTCAGTAGCTAAGTGGATAACGCGATGGTGTTTGAAGCGAACGATACTGGGTTAAAGTTCCTGAGTGAACATCAACTCTGAGATGTGGGCACATCCAGTTGACGAGTCCCGAATAGGACGAAACGCGCGTCAAACTAGATTCCGCTGCTATTCACTATCCGTCTTTGCTTAAAAAGGATATTCTATAGTAGAGTATTTCCATTATGTTATACATATATTCCTTATTACCTATGTAAGAATAGAATGATACTGTTCTATCACATTTGAAATAGGTTTCTTATTGGCTTATTGATTAATTCAGTAGACTTTCAATTACTGAATCTCAAATATAACAGATCTACTTTAATCGCTGATAAATTCCCATTATATTAAAACACGATTATATGAACGAAGAATATTCTTTTCAATGTATTTCTCATCGGGTACTCAACAATTATAAATTCAAATGAATAATTCATCAAATTAGCCAGATTTAATGTAGAGTACATCATTTGATATATGAATCAAGGATTGTTTGTTATGTAAAGTCAAATCAAATCGTTAATGTTGGGGTTGACTAATATGAAGTTTCACTGATTGAAATCATGAGTCAATTGAAGCTAGACCACTATTGAAAATCTGAAGGCACTGGACGGCCGTTTTATCTTAGTATGGGACTCCTCAGCAGTGCGCATCCGCGATCCTGCACCCAGCGAGACTCGAAATTAGGATCTATAAGTCTCGCTCCAGGCGCTGAACCAACTAGACCACTAAAGTTGTTGACTCGAATCAGTTTATAAGTTAGATAAATAATGATCACAATAACTGTGATCACATGGGTTGAGAGGGAGAGAATAATGGAATAAAAATCAGAAATTACGTAAAATGTGGAATAATATGAATTAGGTCAGATGTAGTAGATTTAGGGGGTTGATGCTGAATAAATTCCTCATAAAGCTTGTCAAGTGTAATAATAATAATAACGATAAAGATAATAGTAATAGTGTGGTGCGTGCTACTTATGTTGATTTAAGTAGTATATAACGCTCATTAGGAATGTAATGTCTGGCAGTAGAAGATGGGGAAAATCAAGAAAGGAAGAGCGGGAATAGAAAGAAATTAGTATGGAAATGAAAGAACAACGAAGTTCGAGACAATTATTGAACATTTTGCAAATTAAATATTATAGTATGGTTTTTCTATTTTACCACGTAACTCTGTAAGTTTGTGCTAAACATGGAGTGATTATCCCCACTGGTGTTCTGCTCACTACAATAGGTTGAGTTTGGGACAAAGATGTTCACAGAGCAGTAGGAATATATATATGAATATTTTTAAATTTCAACAAAGTGGACGAAACTGCTGGTTTTCAGTGACTTATAAATTCAAGTTAGACCACCATAGAAAACCTGGAAGCATTGGACGGCCGTTTCGATCCCACTCACGAGATCGTGCATGAGAATTGTTGAAAAGTCCCATACTTGGATGAGATGAATGTCCAGTGTTTTCAGGGTTTTTTAATAATGGTCTAGCTTTAATTGATTCATGAATTCAACTATCAGAAATTTATTTGTTTAAACCTATAAGACAATACATTTTTTTTCAAACAAAAAGAAGTATTTCTGTCAACAAAACCAGGGACTTTCACTGAAAAAGAAAAACAAACTGTATGTTTAAATAGTCTACTCAAATTTCAATAACTTACTACCTACTACTCACTACACTACACTATACTACTTACTACTAAAATAGATTTTATCAATAAATGAATAACTGAATGATCATTTAAAGAGATTAAAGATTATAAAACATTTTTATCAAACTAATTTCATCTTCTAATGTAATGTGAATGTTAACAATGAGGTTGAAAATAATTTTTCAGAGAAATACTATCATTCTTTAATTCTATATAGGAGATAATTTGATGTACTTAACGACAATAAAGATTATTATGGTGTGTGCTACTAATGTCGACAGATATAAGTAGTATGTATCATCAATCGAAAGTGAAATGCCTAATGACAGAAAGTTAAGATTTAGGAAAAGAGAACTAGAACAGAAAATGATTGGTGTGGAAACGAAAGAACAACGAAGTCTGAGATGATTGATTGATATTTTGCAAATGAAGTGTTTACTGTATGGTTTTCAGATTTTACTAAGTTGTTCTGTAATTTTGTATTCAAATACATTCGATTGTTCACACTTTTATTCTTGTTCACTACATTATTACTACAAAATACGAGATAACTATTGTGTAGAAGAATGTTTAAACATGATATACGTTTACAGAATTAAAGTTCATTCATAATAAACTACAGAATTGTTTAAGCTGTACAAAAGTTAATTTATTCTATTCTGAATAGTTTAACGAACTTATAGATTGCTGACATAAAACATTCTTTTTTTATTAGGTTGAATGATCATTTCCACACTGACACTTAATTCCTATCTTAGAATAATGGTATATATATATATATATATATATATATATATATATATATATATATATATATATATATATATGAAATTAAAGTACTAGTTCCGTGAGGAAATGTGGACAACGAATAGCCAAGATGATGTAATAGAAAGATTATAATACTAGATTACGTAACACAAATAATGACAATAGAATTAATAAGTTAGTAACGAATTATAATGCGAATGTAGTAAGGTGGTTAAAACGTTTTTGTTGCATTAATTACCCGATTGCCCAAACTGAAGCAGGTGGATTACTTAGAGGAGCCTTCGACCTAAAGGTCTGATCCACAAGGGAGTGGAGAAACATAAGGAGATGTAGTCTCATAGTAGCCGGTGACCAACGATTAGGTCATACACCATTTGTTCCTTCTGGATCTTGGAGCCCATGTGCACCATTGTTTTGGAATCAAGGTTTCCCAACTCCCCTGGGTGGACTCTTTGTGTTCACGAACCCGGATAAAGCGCCGGACATTCACTTTTCGTAATTTCGATTTCGTAAACAACACCCGTGATGCGAGAAGGCAGTGAATAGTGATTTAGTGCTTAAATATTCACTCACAGGAGCAAATTTTTTAGGTTAGATCGCCCAATGAATATTTATGGTTGGCTTATGCTGAAAACTCCCAAACAAGGATAAAACGACCATTCGATACCTCCAGGTTTCATTAGTGCTCTCATTAAGATTAATTCGTGATTCAAACAATGGAAATTCTACAATCTCAAATCCCCCTGTACTGATATTACTTGTTATGTATTTACTAAATATTTAATTCA